TTTGTGAGGGGACGAAAGGGCTGGGTGTAGAGGGGATTGCGCAAAGGAGGGGGTTTGATGTATTGCAGGATGGAAGGTACACGCCCGCCGAGCCGAATCGAAGCCAGGATGGCGGTGGTGCCAATGAAGAGAGCGACGGCGGCGAGGAACCAGTTGATACGGCGTGAGGAAGCCACGGTGGGCAAGCTAGGAGGGCTTCAGCGTGATTGCTCTTATGCCGGCATGTGGGGAAGCGGGCGGTTGGATGGTGTGCTGTGTTGAACAAGGGTTTTGTACTTGTGAGCACGACAGGCAGTGAAGCTTCAGACGTTAACGACACATGCAAATAGGCTACGTGACCTCTCCGCTGCGCTCCAGATTCCGGCAGCGTGAGGATCGGCGTCTGACATGGCATGGATGCGTCCGCCTCAGGGCTGTTAGCCCCGATCGGCAAGGCGCCATCTCCACACCCATGCTTATGCTGCCGCTCTTGTGCAACATGTTCTGTTGGAACTACCCTCCTCCCGCCTCTTGGTCACGGGAACGAGCCTTGCCGAGACAAGGCGCCATCAGTTTCAATGCCGGCAAGATTTAACATCATTACATTTTTGATATGCGTTCGTATTATACACGAAAAATCATCAGCTGCGTGACGGCCCCGTAGCCCAGCTACTTCCGCTCTTATCAAGACACGTATACCTCGTTCCGGACATGCACATATAAACATTACTTACATATAAACCGAACAAAATAAATTTCATTTGCTTCACGCCGTCTTATGCGGCGAAAACGGAGGTCCCAGATGTGGACTATCCTTGCCATCCGAGCTCAAGCTCTCTGGTATTGTGACGAACGGGCCCCAATTCGACTCTCTTGCTATCGTCGATCTTTCGTGTATTGTGATGAAACCAACAGACTCTCCTCTGTCAAGGCCCTTCTCGTTTGCAAGTGGCCACATCTCCACATCCGGCACTTGGCGTGGACTGTACTCGTCGTCCTTTGGCGGCGTTGGTGGCCGGGCTTCTGGCGGAGTCGCGTAAATCTTCGGTGGCGTGCCGTTCTGTTGTGGCTTCTTTTCCTTGTTGCGGAAGAGAAGACGGAGAAATGGTACAGAGGCAGATATAATGCCACTGTTGGTCTCAACCTGGCCCCACAGGAGCAGATCCGCGCCGTAGCGCGCAGAGTTGTAAGGAGACTCAGCCCACATGTACATGACCCACATGCGTACTGAAGACGCAACAATAGCCATCAATCCCACGGAAAATATGCCAATCAATGCAAGTCGTTTGCCCATTGGTATCCGGAGACTCAACAGCGTCGGCAGTGGCATCAACAGGAGGATGATATCGGTGAGTAGGTTGCACGCCGACGAAAAAACCCAGAGCGGAACTGGATCCCAGCATACAGCAGGCTCTCTCTGGATGGTGGGGTCGAATTGTGCAAAGTAATTTGTGGTGGACCAAGCGCTCGCTGGATTCTGGCATTGGAAGATTGCGGCAATGGTCGCAGAAAATGTGTACATCACCACAAACCCCATCATGCCATACACGGTTCGGCGAAAGGTGACGTTGGCAGCAATGGAGCGGTAGAAGAAGAGGATACTGAGCTTAACGAAGCCAAGTCCTATAACGTAGACGAACCGGTAGGCCCACCAGGAGATGAGCACTCCCAGCACGTAGCCCTCGATCTCTGGCCTTTTGTCCTGAGCGTATGTGTCAGAACAGTTCTCGGAGGGGTTGGTTGAAATCTTTTTCTTACAGGTCTACGGAGGTATGAGGGTCGATAGCCACTGCTCGTCACATCTTGGTAGTAGTTGATTATGAAAGTTCCCCATGCAACGACCTAGTCAACTTTATCAGCACTGGCCTTGAACTTGGCATTGGAAAACCCTTACTAGCGAGACCAACATGAGATGGTCGCTTGCGCTGAGCGATCCGACAAGAAAGTACCGGCAGTAATATCTGTAGCGGCTGATTAGGATTTGGATCACAGCTGTCATTGTCACATCAACTCACCGGAGTGCCACGACAATTGTTGATATTGTTGTCAGAACTCCCCCAACGATCACCACGACGAATCCTGGGCGTAAATACATGTTTGTCTAGCCCTCCTCGCTGCTCCCTGGAGATAGGGGATGATTGTGGTCGGCGCCAAGTCGAGAATGGCGACGGTAGAGATGCGCGCCGAGAGAACGATATGATGAGAACAAACAATGAACATGGACGCGTTGGCTACCAGGCGTGGTCTATAGGGGGCGAGCCCCCAAGATTTAGGGTTCCCCGGGTTCTCCACCAGCGGAAGATACTGCTCCGTAAAGCGTTTCGTGACCCTTGCGTGTGCCGACTAAGTAAGACTATCAATACAGCCATGGGAATGGTGCTAGCGGAACGGAAGCCATGGCTCGACGCGCAACGATCCGCAGGTGTGCCTGACGCGACATGATAGGTTCGTGATGCGGCTAGGAGGTCGGAAAAACGTGGAGGGCTGGGTTTAGAAACCGGTATATTACTAACCACCTCATATTCCCATAGGATCGGCCCGGGGCCTGGCAATATTTGAGTTGTATACGCTAGAAGCAAAAACAAAGTGGGCTGCCGTGTGGCCCCCGACAAAGGGTGTAGGGTCACAAAACGGGGGCCATTTCCAAACTGGGATACAAAACTGATGCATTGCGAAAGTCCCAAACGTCTGCTAGCTACAAACGGGCTAGACAACGGTCTTGAGTGGATATATCCGGGTATGTAACAGGGAGCCTGCATGAACTGATAGACTTGGCAACGGGACAGTGGACTGGCGTCAACGTTGCGTTCGAGATGTTTGAGATCGGTGAGGCTGAAACCTGCGTTGCACGCGGTTGAATGACCAGCAATCTGAGGCGCAACTTGACTGACCTTGTTACAAGCGGTACTGTGAGCTCAGCCCATGAATCGCGTCGAGACATAGTTATACATGGCTAAGAGACCCCTCGTCGAGGCCCACGGCAATCAAGGTAAGTATTTAGCTAGAGAACGCCATGCGTACTTGGAAGCGGCAGAGTCTGACATGGAAAGGACCTTTGTTTAATTGATCTCATCAAAGCATCGTAACGTGATGCAGACTTTGACAGAACAAGTTACTGGGCGCGGGGTCGCCTCGAGCTGTGCAGCTCGCTAGAGTTGGGCCGAAATTGGGTGTAACTACCGTTGTTGTCACAGTTGTTTGGACAGGAATGCGGAGGAGCCGAGGTCCAAGCTGCGGGCGGATAGTGACGTCAAGTGCCCACGGTCGCTGTAGGGCGCAAGGCACAGCGCAAGACTACGAAGAGGATATGCGAGTAGTGGAGGTGTATATGAGCATGTACATATGCAGACGGTAGGTCGTGGAGTGTGGCTGTAAGGCAAGCCACTAAAAGCCTAGCGCTAGCTGTATGCATCGTGAGTGAGAATGACTCACTATACTGCTGTTTGATTGGACAGCCAGGTGGGTCTGAATATAGTACCATGCAGCGAAGCACTGCCGAATGCCTGGCTGTGGACAAGAGCGAAGCCTCACATGGTGAGTATAGGCCTAGTATGTAACAGGAGAATTCAGTGCACATATCTGAGTGCGCCACGGAAGCTGACATGTCAGAGGAAATGCCTCACATCAAGCAGGGCGTAAGCCTTGAGCGTTCCATGACTACCCCACCGAATTACGCTGCGCCCAACTTGCCTAGACCTCATCGTGATTTTCAACCATGCCCTTCATCCTTTGTCATTATGAGTAGATATGATGCTGGCAACGACTGTTGCACCAAAGACTGCCACCTGTATAAGTCTTCGCCATCATTCGTAGTCTTCGTAGATAAAGAATTGAATTGTATTACATGCACATAGACACGTTACAAGAGTCCACGAACCGACCATGTCCCACCCATAAGGTCAGAGCCCACCCCTTTTGCTCATCTGCCAATGCACCATTACTTTTGCGCACGAAGAAGAGCACGGAGAGTTTCCACCTCGCCTTCAAGCCTGGCATTGCGGACCTTGAGCTCATCCCGTTCGGCCTTGATCTCTTTCAGTTCAGCTTCCAGAGTACTCATTTGATCAACTCGCTTCTGGCGGTAACGACGGGCAGCAAGTGTGTTGGCTTTTCGCTTCTCAATACGCGAAGCGGGCTCTTGCACCACAGGACTGCTCTTAGTAGACGATGTCTTGAATGAAGAAACGTGCTCAGGAGATGACGAGCTCCGATCCTTGTGGCTTGTCCAAGAAGAACCAGACTGAGAGGCATCTATACAAATCAGACACTGATCACTCAATGCGTCGTGAAGCAACTCTTACCTCTGCTCATTTGCGCTGCCGTGTCCATGTTGTTGGGAAGTTTCATGCTTTGAGCCATAGCAAGCGTATCAATAGTATCTCCAGCAGTAGAAAGTGAAGCAGGGCCTTGGGGAAACAGTTGGAAATCATGACCAAGATACGGCGAATCACCAGTAGGGAAGAGGTTGAAATCAGTAGCGGGATAAAGAGAGGCGTCCGGTACGATAAGGTTGCCGGTCGAGGCGGAAGAGCTGGCCAGAAGGGAAGAAGTGTCGATCAAATGGTTGTTGTCTTGAGGAGCGGAATAAGAAGGCTCAAGTTGCCAATCAGCAGACTGTAGTCCATGGAGGCTTGATGGCAACAGTGAATCTAGAGGGTTGCCAGAACAGGCGGAAGGGTCGGGTAAAGCCGAACTGCATGGTGGCAGAGGTATATTGCATGTTGAGATGTTGTAGTGCGGGTCCTGGTACCCGCTGGTGAAATCGAAGAATTCGTCAAATGAAATTGGAAACTATCGGAGGGCGCCCAACACGGGGTGATGAGCGCGAGGTTTGGTGAGGAGCAGAATAGGAGGGCGGGGGTGGCTTCTCTTTATATCTATGGGGGATCACACACCCCCGACGGCTGACTGGGCCATCCCATCCATGGGCGCTGGGCACGCTAGCTGCAGACCCCAGTCGCATTTTCCAGCTGCAACTTTGCTGCGCCCATCTGTCGGCAAGCACAGCCCACACCAACGCCATGGCGACGATGCCCTCTGCACGACTGCTACGACCCGGTTTGGCGTCGACGCCATCCGACGCTGTCCTCGCCTTTCTCGTCCCCTCGACCCAATGCGCGCACAACGGCTCCAGGGCCTGCTTTTCGACGTCACCGCAATGGCGGAAGAGGGACAACAACAAAATCAGAGGCGTGTCTGCGGTGAGGGCAACAGCCCTGCGGCCACGGCAAACACTGTCGGTCAGACAAAAAGATTTTGAGAACCAGCAATTACCAAAGCCGGTACCAATCGAACACAAAATTACAGGCACCCCAGACCATGGACTATGGGGCTTCTTCAAGGACCAAAAACTGCTGCAGACACCAGTCGACGAGCAGAGGCATGGTATGCAGCAGTTGGCTTCATGGCGAGCGAGGCGGTAGCTGACGGAGACACAGGCAGAGCGTGGACTGTCGGCGAGCTGCGTAGTCGAGATTGGGATGCCCTCCACCAGCTGTGGTGGGTATGCGTCAAGGAGCGAAATCGCCTTGCGACGGAGAAGATTGAGCGGAAGCGCCTCAATGCTGGCTATGGCGACTATGAGAATCAAGGGCGCGACAAGACAGTGCAGGAGACGATGAAGGCAATCTTGGATACGCTGGCTGAGAGGCACCAGGCGTATCAAGAGGCATATGCTTTGGCACAGCGTGATCCAGACATTGATTTGTCAAGGACGGATGGCCCACAATACACACAACCGCCATATGTGAGTTTGCCCCTCGACGCAATCTGACGCATGGTGCTGACAACCTCTCCAGGATCCGCTAGAAGCTGACGATGCACCATATGAGGCTCAAGCTGCCTCGACGAGCGAGGAGCCTGGGAAGGATAAGACGATAGCAGAGTCGAGATGAATGCTGCACGTTTGAAAACGGCCCGGATGTCCTTATTGCTACCAAATTCACCGAGCTAGCGTGCACTCGGACGGGTTCTGCACATCTATTTGGCATGCTGGGGACAATGATGGTACATATATGCGACTATAATCAGTACGGGGTATATGCAAGATCCTCGGGCGGCGATAAACAAGGGTTCACCGTGCAAATGTACAAGTAAAGGCTCGTCCAGCAGTCAAGACAGCCTGGTTATTCTGCATTTCGTCTTGCATGGTGTCAGATAGTGAACAGCACTAGCGTAGCATATACCAAACGCGTTGAGTTATGAAAGTAGTGCTAGCACAAACAACTCGACCAGATTGGCGAGGCGCTTCCCAAAGAGCTCCAACCCCACATCCACCTCACCGCCCTCAGTCGACCTACCCACGCGCCTTCTAGTGGACTTCTTCTACTGCAGTCTGCAAACCACCCCTATCCTCACAACTCTCCTCATTCAGCCATGGAAGAAATTGCTCCAGAATACGACGTCGTGGTCCTGGGAACAGGTGCGTTGCCATTCCACATTACCCCGCCTACCCAACACGCAGGCCAACGCAGCTAACCATCCTCCAGGTCTCACCGAATGTGTGCTTTCAGGGTAACACAAGCACCCCGACAAAAAGCAAAACCGGACACGGGCTGACGATATCCTTGCAGTGTGCTTAGTGTAAAGGGCAAGAAGGTGCTCCACATTGATCGCAATGACCACTACGGAGGGTACGTGGCGCTGGTCGACGCTGTTGAGGGGAACTAAAGCTGACACCACACAGTGAGGCAGCATCGCTGAACATCGAGGCAGTACGTATCCAAGGACAATAACCATCACTCAACTCACTGACACGTCGTTTAGCTCTTCAAGCGATACGGCCGGACCGAGGGTGAGCCATGGAAGAAGTATGGCCGCGTCAATGACTGGAACATCGATCTCGTCCCTAAGCTTCTCATGGCCAACGGCGAACTGACCAACATCCTCGTTTCCACCGACGTCACCAAATACCTCGACTTCAAGCAAATTGCTGGCAGCTATGTTCAGCAGGGCAACGGCAGCAAGGCGACCATTGCCAAGGTCCCCTCAGACGCCGGTGAGGCTCTTCGATCGCCCCTTATGGGTCTTTTCGAGAAGCGCCGAGCGAGGAACTTCCTCGAGTGGGTTGGTGGCTACAAGGAGGACGACCCAGCCACACACAAGGGTATGACTCTCTGTGGACGAAATGTTTTTTGAAGCAGGATGACTGACATACAATAGGCATGGACGTCAAGAACAGCACCATGAAGGATATCTATGACAAATTTGGTCTTGAGCCCTCCACTCGCGATTTCGTTGGCCACTCTATGGCTCTTTACCCAACCGACGACTACATTGAGCAGAAGGGTGCAGCAGAAGATGCCATCCAGCGCATCAGGCTGTATGTAAACTCCATGGCACGATATGGAAAGTCGCCATACATCTACCCTCTGTACGGTCTCGGAGAACTTCCTCAGGGTTTTGCTCGTCTCTCTGCCATCTATGGTGGTACCTACATGCTCAACACCGACGTAGATGAGTTCATTTACGAGGGCGGCAAGGTTGTTGGCATCAAGGCCACCATGAAGGAGAAGGATGTTCCTGGCGACGGTATGAAGTTTGAGACCAAGGCAGGCAAGATCCTCGCCGACCCTTCATACTTCCCCAGCAAGGCCCGTGTTACCGGACACCTGCTCAAGGCCATTTGCATTCTCAACCACCCCGTTCCCAACACATCGGATGCCGATTCCCTGCAACTGATTATTCCCCAGTCCCAGGTCGGACGTAAGCATGGTATGTGAAGAATAGCTGGCTTGCAGAAACAAACGCTAACATTTCTTCTAGATATCTACGTTGCGGTCGTTTCATCTGCACACAACGTCTGCCCCAAGGGATACTACATTGCCATTGTTTCCACTATTGCTGAGGGTGACAGCAACCACCACCTTGAGCTTCAGCCAGGTCTCGACCGCCTTGGATCAATTGAGGAGAAGTTCATGGGACCAGCTATCCCTCTCTACGAGCCAATTGAGAGTGGTGCTAATGACAACATCTTTTTGTCAAAGAGCTACGATGCCACGAGCCACTTCGAGACAACGACTGGTAAGACGCGTCACTTCAACACGATTCAGCAATGCTAACATGGTACCAGATGATATCAAGGATATTTACAAGCGTGCAGAAGGCCAGGAGCTCGTTGTTGAGGGCCTTAGGGAAGGTGCAAACTTCAACGTCGAAGAATAAACAAGAGGCTTGGTGTATGATGGATAAATGCCCACACAAGCAGCAATCGGTCGCTTTGCCAGATACTTTGAGGTTTTGCTGTGGGAGGTTTGGTAGCAATGACATGCATTCATAACAATCAAGTGATCCGTACGAAATGAGATGCAGTCGCTTGTGCGGAGCTCAAGCTCGGTATTTCCTATTTGGGCGACACAGCGCCAACCTTGCTGTTCCGTTGATCACCCATGGCACAGGGGATCGCAGTAGACCGGTTGATTGACGAATAGTGTCCACAATGTGAAATGCGTGTTTGACTTGTCTGGCAGCGGGAACGAGGGGCAACGTGGGTCTGTCTCCTTTCCATGACGACGTACGTAAACTCTTGGCAGGGACAACATCGTAGAGCGTCAACCATCTGAGTACTGAGTACCGGGTCGCGTCGCAACAAAACGTGTCCTCGAGGCGCGCCTCCTTCTTTCTCTACACTCATTCACAATGTCGCAATTCAGGCGGTATGCGTTCCTGCTTATTGCGGTAGTGTTCCATTTGACGTACATATATTCTTGCTTCTCAATTTACTTTGTCAGCCCTATTGTCCATGGCATGCGCGAACACCGCGTGGAGACGCAAGAAGCTCCCGCAAAGCGATTGGTACTATTTGTTGGTGAGATGCATCGTCTTTATGCAACAGTTGACAGGCTAACCATATGCCAGGCGATGGTCTCCGCGCGGATAAAGCATTTCAATCGTTTCCCAACCCTGACCCCAATCCGCCGGCCGCTCTCGCAGACGACGTAGACACCCCTCGTCCCCTCGCTCCGTTCCTTCGCTCTCGTGTTTTAGAAAAAGGCACTTTTGGTGTCTCGCATACTCGTGTCCCCACGGAATCGCGTCCCGGGCATGTTGCGCTCATTGCAGGCTTGTACGAGGATGTTTCTGCTGTCACAACAGGATGGAAGCTCAACCCAGTCAACTTCGACAGCGTCTTCAACCGAAGTAGACATACATGGAGCTGGGGCAGTCCCGACATCCTTCCCATGTTCGAAGCGGGAGCAGTTCCAGGAAGAGTGGATGCATACTGTTATGCCGCTGAGGACGAGGATTCGTCAAAAGACGCCTGGGCACTGGACGAATGGGTCTTTGAACGTGTTGAGAAGCTCTTTGCTGACGCAAAAACGAATGCGACATTGGATGCTGAGCTACGAAAGGAGAAGAATGTATTCTTCTTGCACCTGCTAGGACTTGACACGACGGGCCATATACACAGACCGTACTCATGGCAGTACCTGCACAATCTACAAATTGTGGACCGAGGGGTGCAGAGAATCACGCAACTTATCGAAGATTTCTACGCCGACGACAAGACAGCCTTCATCTTCACGGCCGATCACGGCATGAGCGATTGGGGTAGTCATGGTGATGGACATCCGGATAATACACGCACACCCCTGATAACATGGGGTGCTGGTATTGCACCACCAGTGAGGAACACGTCAGGTGTTGCCAGAGGGCACACTGAATTCTCATCGGACTGGAATCTGGATGAAATCGAGCGACATGACGTTGACCAGGCTGATGTGGCGGCCTTGATGGCGTACCTTGTTGGACTCGACTTTCCAACTAATTCTGTTGGTGTTTTGCCTCTTTCGTACCTTGACACGGATATGAAGTCAAAGGCTGAAGCGCTCCTTATCAATGCCAAAGAGATTTTGGAAATGTACCATGTCAAGGAGGAGGTGAAGAAGTCTACAACACTAAAGTACAAGCCCTTTTCTGGCCTTGGCGATGAAGCGCACTCGGTTGAGCATCGCGTGTCAGAGATACAGGCGGCGATTGACCAAGGTAATGCCGAGCAGGCTATTCGTCAGACGTACGATCTAATTGACCTTGGCCTCGAGGGTCTGCGCTATCTGCAGACGTATGACTGGTTGTTCCTGCGAACACTAGTAACTGCTGGCTATGTTGGCTGGATGGTCTTTGCTGTTACTACAGTGATTCATCTTCATGTTCTGACAGAGGAGGTGCCGACACAGCGGACGATTCCGAGCATGATAGTATTCTCCTCAGTGCTTGTTACACTCTATGGCGTTCTGCTGAAGCAGCAATCACCCATTGTCTATTATGCCTATGCATTCTTCCCAGTCTTGTTCTGGGAGGAAATATATGCCCAGAGATTGTCACTTGTCAAAGGAAGCAAGATCTTGTTGGGTCATCTCAACTCTGGTGCTGATGTTGCGAAGCTTGTGCTGGCGACACTGGGATTCTTCGGTCTCCTTGAGGCTCTTGTATGTGGAATAGTTGGTGACACCGAGCACTTTGTACTGACATGGAACAGGTTCAAAGTTATTTCGTTCGGGAGATTTATACAGGCTGCTATTTGCTGGCAACATGCTGGCCAGCTATCTACGGTCAAGATTTCATGCGTAAGAACATGGCAACAGTCGTGTCATGGGTGTTGTCATGTGTAGCTATGAGTGCTTTCACATTGCTGCCTGCAATCAAGGCAGAGGATGTGCGTCTGATGTATGTGAAACAATATTGCCCGGTCTTGTTCGGCTGCTGACATGTACAGTCTACTCGGGGGAGCACTGATGTTCGCTGTGGGTGCACTCTACCTGCTCTTCGAAAGGAACCTGGTTGCAGGCTCCAAATCAGAGTCTGAGCTTGCATCTCATGAGCTCAACAACAAGTCGCGCACCATCCTCGGCATCCAACTCGGCCTTGTCTTGCTTTCCATGATTGTCACTAAGAGCAGCATCGGCTACCTACAAGCACGTGAGGGAATCCCCTATGGCGTGCTCACAATGGGACGAGCGACGCTTGCGGCCTCTCTTTTTGTCCCACAGCTGCACGGTCTATACCCCAATAGCCATTATGTGCATCGCCTTGTCGTCATCTTTCTCCAATTCGCGCCGACATTTATCATCCTGTCCATCTCGTATGAAGGGCTCTTCTACTTTGCCTTTTGCATGTGTCTGTTTAGCTGGATGAGCCTTGAGCATCAAGTCCACTTGCACAGCACAGGCAATCCATCAACAGCAGTCACTACATCTGATCCGGCCAAGCCAACCAAGGACGCGGCTGTCGAGCGCCTCAAGTCCGTCCAAAAGGGAGAATACAGGCCATTGACGCTCGCCGACGCACGCACAGCTCTCTTCTTCATCTTCTTCATTCAGTCAGCCTTTTTCAGCGCATCCAACATTGCGTCAGTATCGTCGTTTTCTCTAGAGGCAGTGTACCGGTTGATACCCATTTTCGATCCCTTTTCCCAGGGAGCGCTGCTCATGCTCAAGCTGATGGCTCCATTTGCGGTGCTGTCGGCAAACTTTGGACTTTTGAACCGTGGCTTGGGCGTGGCGCCTTCTGCGCTCTTCATGGTAGTCATGGCAGTTAGCGATGTCATGACGTTGAGTTTCTTCTACATGGTCAAGGACGAGGGCAGCTGGCTGGACATTGGGACTACGATTAGCCACTTTGTGATTGCTAGTCTGCTTGGTGTTTTTGTGTCTGGATTGGAGATTTATAGCGAATGGACGATCCGGGGCGTAGAGTTTGGGGGGAAGAAGGCGGGGGAGGCTAAGGGCAAGGGAAAGGCGGCGTAGTCGGTACCGTGGTATGGCTTGTATGCAGAGCGCGGGCAGAAGCAACGGGGCGCCAAACACGGCGCTCAGACCAGATAGATAGGCCGAGCGCGAGTACCAAGATATTACTTTTTTTCAATGTCAACGACTATGGACGTTGTTGAGGTGGTGTGGCGTTGCTGGGCAACAGTGGCTGTTGAGGGGGAGGGGTCAGGTGACGTGGACCCCACGCGGGGTCTTGTCGATTGTCGGCTGCACGGCCAGCGTGATGGCGCAACATGGACTGCCGAAACGGGGACGTGGATAGTGTTTCGCGCCCGCGTACGTGCTCTAAATGGAGTAGCGGATGGGTCAGGAGAGCGTGGCATGGGTGGATAAGCGGCATGGGCGGCCTGGAGCGAGGCTGGGAGAGGCTGGGCAAGCGTTCGGCTCCACCAGCGTGGTGATGATGTGTTCTGGTTCGGAACCCAATTCCTTTTGCATGCGCGCAACTTGCAAGCTCACCGTCCTTTCGCAAACGGGCGTCTCTCTGTCCACGGTATCCCATCCTATCTACTATCTGTGCCGCTACCTAGTCACGTTAGCAGCGACGTGCTACTGCTAGCAGCATCCTGCTCACTGCGTGGCCGTGGGCGCGCGCACTGCTGTCATCGACTGCCCTCTGCGAAGGACAGGGGCCGTCCCAACCACCATCCGCTACCCGCCGCCCGACACGACACACGCCCAGCCGTAGTGCTTCAACCTCTCCCTTTTCCTGCCAATCCAAGGCCGTCAAATAACCCAACCTTTCTCTTATTTTTCACTCGTGGCGCAATCTCGCTTCCCGCCTCCCTCCGAGCTTATAACACCGACTACTGTCATTGTCTGCCGCAAACTCCTCTCCCCCCATAATGTTCTTCAAAAGGTAGCCCGCTCGCCCTTCACCCGCCAAACCCGGCAAGCTAACCCAATCTAGGCGATCAAGGGCCAATTCCTACGTCGAAAACGAACCTAACCCTCGCTCGCAGTCATTCGACTACGAGGCAGATAAGCGCCCAGAATCTAGTCGCAAAGAGTCCCATCACAGTCAGCCGCTGTCGCTCGACGATCAGGACATGTACCCCCGCCAACAGCAGCCCCAGGAGCCCACGTACGCTCAGAGTGCTCCCACTTCACACAACGCCATGCCTATGCGAACCCAGACAGTGCCATCTACCAGCAATGCCACCCCAATGGGTCTCGGCATGCCCGATCTTCTCACCGCTGCCTTCAACCAGGCCGTGCAGCCATACACTGAGAAGATTGAGCAGCTCGAGAGCCAGCTGGCCGACCTGCAGGCCTGGGTAGATCAGCTCGAGCAACAGCGCGCCGAAGTACACAACTGGATTGACAAGCGCGGCCTGCGACCAGGTATGTTGTGTTGCCCTCCTCTGCAACGCGCCGACGCTGTACTGACAATTTCCCAGATGTCCCCGCCTCAATCGCAAAGATCATGGACACCACCACCGCTGACGCTGCGCCCACACTCAACGCCCAGCTCGACCGCAAGATTACCATTGTCAACTTTGATCTCCACCGCCTGCAAGACGATCTCAACGACTCCATATCCTCGTCGCACTTTGCCTCGGCCATGTTGAAGTTCCTGCCAGACATCCAGCGCCTGACGCTCCTACCATCAGGACCCCGCTATGCCTTCGACCTCATCCTGAAGCTCGGCGGCAACCTCAACTCGCACGGCGGTATTGACAGCGCCGACGCTGGCGACATTGCTGCGCGTCGCGACTTTTACAACCGCCTCGACGAGACCATGGTCGATGTCGTGCAGCGCCGATTTGGCGAAGGCGAGGCCTGGGACGTCAAGCGCGAAATCAAGCGCATTGAGAAGACGGCTAGTTACCTCAAGACATATGGTGTCGAGCCTTACTTCCCGTCTACCCTCGACATGATGAAGCGCGAGATGGAGTTCCAGCCAAACGGCGCTGGTAACGGTTCCGTTACTCCGCCTCGGTTCCACTAGAACGTTTGCCTAGCAAGCGCCGTTCTGAGCGAAGATCAATTGGTAATGCGAATTTGTGGTACCGAGCCAGGTTTCGCACGAACCATTCCCGCTACCATCTTTTTCTTCTTTTACTTTTTTTTGTTCTTGGATACCGCAAACAAACCGTTTCCGACTCTTGTCCGGTTACCTATTCCGACCAACCCCCGCTCAGTTCGCGTCAGCCCTGCGCTTCGAAGTCATGTCCCCCGTACATGACGTTCTTTTTTCTCTCTCCCTTTTTCTAAGCCGGGTTTCCCCGTTTTTCTCCCCTATTCCCTTTCTGCGGCTAAGTATATTAGCTTCACAGAGTGGAATGGAGGAAAACAATACTAGGGCGGGGTTACACATGAAGTCTCAATGCCACAACACATACGACCTCTCTCTACAGATTTGTACTTTAATACTCATCAGTTCTCTAGGGACACGAATCTCCTTGATCTTTTTCTTTTCCTTTGTCTTTTTTGATATCTCTCGGATTTTTTTTCCCATGGTGGAGGAAGGATGAAGAGTTGGAGGGAAATGTCGAACTGGAGAAGCTTCTGGTTTGGGTGGGGGTCGGGGGGTGTGTGCTTGTCGATTTGCATCATACCCAGGTATTGATTTCATGTTTTGTTTTGTTTTGCGTAATGAAATGGGCGTTAATATATGAGTGGATGAGGTGGCCGGCCAAGGGAAGAGGAAAGAAAGCATGCTGCGTGTTTTTTTTTGCGTGTGTGGACGGTATGGCGGGGTTTGAGGGCCTACCGTTGTTTCCCTGGTTAGTTGGTATACAAGCAATTGTTAATGTCTTGGAACGTCTGTTTGTTGTGTGTTTGATATACTTCGTGATTTAAACGTTGAACGTCAATACCTTTTGTCATTTCACTTAGACCATCATCTTGTTCTCGCCAGAATAATATTCTTCTTCAAGCAAGTAGAGCAAATAGATACAGGTTTCCCCCCTGTTCAGTATTCCAGTTTAATCCATGTTCAGTCTAATAAAATATGCTATGTATATTTTTTTGGAAGTAGAACGAAAAAAAAAGAATAAAATTACGCAGACTGTACACGAAAAAAAAGAAACCATGCTGCAAGGAGAGTCAGTCATCGGGAGGGGAGGGGGAACGTGGGTATCACATCTCCATATTGAGATCATTCCAATAGAGAAAGAGAGAGAGAGAGAGAGAGAGAGAGAGAGAGAAAGGAGATAAAACGCTCGAGCAAGGATAAAGAAGAAAAGAAAGAAGAGAAGAAAGAAAAAAAGGACGAAGGAACAAACAGATCAGACAAGTATAGAATCCAATACAGTCTCAATCCAAGCCTCCCAACTACTCCTCTTCATCCCCAACACACCCCTACCCTGAAGACCTTGATCCTTACCAAGCTCATTCTGCAACCCTTCCTTCGCACCCTCCCCTTGCTGCTCCCACCACTCGGCCTCGGCCCTCTCCTTAGCCCTCTTAACAACCCTCTCCTCATCCTCAACACGATACAAATCGCACTTGTTGCACTCTCCACACGACTGGCCCGGTCTATCACGGAAATGGCCACAGAAATGCTGGTAGCCCTCGTTAGCCAGGCCCTGGCGACAAACATAGCACATGCTGTAGCCGCACAAGCAGACGAGCTTGTTGCAGCCCTCTGACTTGACGAAGCCAAGGTTGCATTGGGGACAGGTGCGTTTTACCGCGTCTGTTGTGGCGCGCTCGAGGGTGAGGCGGAGCGAGGTGAGTTGCGAGGAGAAGCAGGTGTGGGGGTCGTGCCAGGGGAGTGAGCAGGAGAGACACGAGGCACGTTGGCACGTGGGTGATAGGCATTGGAAGCGGAGGCCCCGGCGCTTGAGGTGGATGCGGCGGAGGGCTGCTTGGAAGGGGGCGATGACAGGGAGGCGGAAGGTGATTGCGGCTATGGCGTATAAGAGGAGCAGAGCGAAAAGAATAACTTGTGTGGCTTTGAAGCATAGGAGTTCAAGCAAGGGGAGAGAAGCTATGGAAGCTACGATCATGGGTCGAGACTTGAACCGTAGGTTGGAAAAGAGGCTTGTGTTTGGAAGGGCGAGATCGTCCAATTCAGCGTAGGGACAGAAGGGGCATTGGACTAGGGGTAGCCGCGACCTTGTTAGTGCGTCAGCGGCGAAACGCTCGTTGAGTTTGGCAAAGTTATCCTTTCCGTCTTGTTCCTCTTCCAGGGCCCGGCGGACAAAACTAAGCGGAATGCAACCTTTGCACTCATCAGACCCCCCAGTCATTGGGGCTATGCACTTCAAAGTACAGAAATCGGTATTGATATTACGTGCCCACCCCTGGTCGTAGAGGGCTGCGTTAATGGCATGTCGTATGCAGCGGAAGCATATGTAGTGGCCTTCGATATCGCAGGTTGACATTTGCTGCAGAGTGTTTGGTACAAAGCAGCACTCGCAGTCGTACATTTCGCCTTGCTGCTCGGCCTCCTCTTCATTCCACTTCATAGCCAACTCAAAATCTTGCCGCAGCTGCGCGTCCCGATACTTTTCGTGTTCGGGCAGAATGAGTGCACTGTAGAGTTCTTGATTCAGCTCGTCACTCCTTGTCTTCACCAGCAGTGGCATGGGCGGGCGGTTCAGCCTCGAGTCGGCAGGTGTCCATATAACTAGAGGGTGGTCGTTTGCATTGGGTGCCTTGCGCCGCATGAGGAAATTCGTGATGCTTGATCTCCAACTCTTACTTGAGAGCACCAGCAGCGTCGGCCGCGCATGTGTGTAGCTCCAATTGTACTCGGCCAAAACCGCCTTGATGGTGGAATGGCTCAAGCCTTTGAACTCTTGATAGAGGGCCTCCTTGGCAGCTTCCTTGTACCGGCGCGACCGGAACCTGTCCTCAAGTGCAAGTGGTACACCGCGCGTGTCCTTCGGTGCATCCTCCTTACGGTACCTGTACTTTTGCGCCGTCTCTCGCTGTTTTTCGTGCTCGGCTGGCATCCGGTACCTTCCTCGCACATACTTGTTGCCATGCTTGAGGAGTGTCTCGGTGATTACTTGTAGCCTGCTCTCTGGGCTAAAAGTAGAAAGCATCTCTCGAAAGACTTCGGGCTGGATGTCGGGGAATATGTCCGTGAGTGCCTGGAGAGCGGTATTGAGGTCACGAAGGTCAGGTTCGTCGATGCCATGGCTGTCGATTGAAGGAGGCCCGGCAGGCGCTGTGCCCAGGTTGGTTGAGGATTGGCGGGACTTTTGCGGCCGCACGAGGGAAGAGAAGACGGTAGACATGAAGGTTGGGAGCGTTCAACGCCACAGCAAATGGTGAATGCCAGACATGCGGTGTCGCGGGGCAGGCTGATGCGAGTGGGGCCAGCAAAGGTCAAATAAACATTACATGTAAATAGGCGATTAATAGGGCGGGCGGGGTGAAGAGAAGCCGAAGAAACGTGACCATGTCGTGGGTAGAGGCGGTGTTGGACCACGGCCCTGGGTGCGGCTGCAATGACGCGTAACCCGGGTCAGCCTTATCGCCTGCGCACGTGATGCCTGGACTTTGTCTTTCACGACTCTCATGGGTCCTCAACCTTTTACACGAAACAATTTATGGCCTACACATCCTACCTTCTTCTCTTGTATATCAGCTGTGTGAAGTCTTCAAAAGGTTGTTCAGGGATAGAAATCTCCACGTTGAAATTATTAATAGTCCATCTCTTCTAGGAATCGTGCCAAGACCTTGCCAATACACGACTCGGACAAAAAAATGAAAGTTGCAAAAACAAAACCAAAAACATACGACAGCGGGGATTTGCTAGTGGCCGGACACTTTGCCAAAACTGCACTTCTTTCTATCCCCATTGTAATCTGTCAGCAGCCTAATCTTGAACTGCTTTCTTGTGAAGAAACAGTCATCTCTCTTCTCTTATATATGATTGCAAGAAACTAGCTCTGCGCCCAAACTCTCACATACCTAGCACTACGCACGAATATATTCGATGATCTCGCCATTACGCCCTCTGGTTATTTCTTTAAGTTTTTACCGCCTCCGCACAACATGCCAAAGAGGGAGGGAAGGGATTGTTTTCTGTCTACAGTTAGGTTATGATATCGCCAAAATCGAGTGATCCCTCTTCAAAACCTATACCTCACCCATACTCCCAGCATAGATAGAAGAATATAACTTCATAAGGTTTTCATACACTTTATAGAAACAATGCAGAGAACAAGATAAGGTAGAGTTCGTTTGTTAGTAATAGATTGATAGGTATTAGCACGTATATCCATGATACAATTATACTATAAGCATCCTCCTACAGCAGCCTAGATACCGTGTTTCTCATCCCGAACAGCTGCGCTCCCTTCGAGCTCTGCAGGCGGCTGCTCGGGTGGAATATACAGACTATTTCTCCCAATCTCATGCGGCTTAGCTTCTGATGTATAAATCTCTGGCTTTACTCCGTCATGTGGTAACTCGTTGATATTGTTTCCGGCAGCTTCGGGCGGCGGCGACGGCACGGCAGGTGGCTGCGCAAGAACGTGTTTCTTGTTGCGACGACGACGATAGACTAGGAAGAAGGCGAGGCCGATGAGAGCAAGACCGCCTACGCCGCCAACGACACCACCAACTATGGCGCCCGTATTATTCTTTTTAGAATTGTTTACCTCATTAGAAGATTGCGTTGGGCGCAAGGGATTAATAGTCGGGTTGGGCGGAGTGCACATGTCGACGCTGTAGTAAACCCATGAAGCATTGTAACAGGATGCTATCTGGGCGAATTGGAGAGCGGTTGAAGAACAAGGCACAAACTCCTCAGCATCGGCTCCATAGATCGTCGCTGATAGAGTTAGTGCCTTCATGTATTTGTCTTGGAAAACCGTTCACTCACCACTACAGCCTGGATCGAGACCGATAACCTAGTGACGTTAGTTTTTGTCCTACAGGCAGTCGTCTCGCTCTCGCCCGTACCTGGAAACTCCCGTATTTGCCATTGTCGGCCAATCTAGAACAGGTGCCATTGGGGTAACCGTTTTCAACAGTGAAGCTTTGAAATGCATTCTTGCATTTGTCGTCCGTGAACGTGGCAATGATTGAGCTGGATACCAGATGGAACAATGTAGCGAGCAAGACAAGGCTGCGAACCGTCCACGCATGGGAGCCGAGTTGAACCATTGTAGCGGGGCCGAGGAGGCTTGCTGAGTCCTTAGGCCACTCGCGAGTATAGTCCGAAGAGCGGGATAGTAGCAGAAGTGAGGGCAAAGGGAGAAGCTTTCTTCTCGTAACAGCGGCTCATGCAGCTGACTAAAAGAACTGGTTGTATCCCTGGAATCAGCTGTTCAATGAAGCATGAGTCGCTCAAAGAATCCAGCCTCGTCGATCAGAAATCCTTGCTGGTCGCCTATCGTGGGCGAGAACCACTCAGAACTAGGTGCAGTGCTTAGGTGTAGAAACACTAGCCCGGCGGGTAAAGTCAGGGTGCGCCAATCCGGACCCCAGTATGAACATCTTGACTCTATCTGGTGCTTGTTAATTCTTTCAGTGCATGAACATGACCGCCATTCACGCCATGACACCACAATCGCATTGGCGTTTTTGGCGGCCGTTTCGGGGCGGGACGCTCCTTGGGCTTACTAGTGCGAACTTGATTGGCCATTTTCCTGGAATGGCTAAATCTTATAGATTATGTGACCTCTAGTTGGCTTTGTAAGCAGATCGTGGCGTTCCAAAAGAAGAAAAATCCTTGTCGCTGTGGGTTAGTTGCAAGCATGGGTAGGGGAACAAGAACCGCTAAGCAATCTCGGCAACCGATTTCCCATTGATGTGTACCCAAACGACTACAGGCTGCTCTATTTCTGTCTTTTGGCCCTCATTGATCTGGATTATTACTGGAAATGGAACTCTCGGCTAAGGACTACCCTTCAGAACGGTAGAGTTGGGGTCGAAAGAGGCTGAGGCTGTACATAGAACCCCGTAAAGATTCTCCACCGACATAGCTGATAAAAAGTATAAGACATCTCTTGCCAGCTTCATTCAAGCAGCACATCGCAGCAAGCAACCCGAGTCAATACCCAGATTCCATCTATAACACCAGCCATCAGAATGCGTACCTCAATTGTTGTCGCTCTTTCTAGCCTGAGCCTTACCGTTATGGGCTGCAGCACAGTGACCAAGGTCACCCATACCTTTTATGGGTACCCAGATAACGACCCAGCAGGTAAGTTAAGATAAAACCTTGTCACCAGCACCAGGATTGGTGGCCAATGCTAACAATCCACTAGGCCCAGCGACTGCTTACGATTGTGGCCGTGGCTTCAAGGCTGGTGGTACCGGCACCTATACCGATCCCTTGACTTTTGCCTCTGCTCCCGGCGAGTTCACCCAGTGCGAGGTCATCTACGACCCATATTTGCGCAAATACCTGCGCTTCGAAGATTACTGCGCCCAGTGCACTACCGACTGGAAGGCGAACCCAAAGATCAACCACATCGACGTATGGACTGGCAGCACCACAGTCAATGGCGGTCAAAACCAGATACAATGTGAAAACGATCTTACGCCAGCAGATCGGAGCCAGACTATTGTCCGCCAGCCATCTGCTAATCTTCCCGTTGACAGTAAGTTGCCGCATTTGACTCGATTACTGGCGAGATAAACTGACACATGGCCAGAAACCAGCCTTTATGTCAAGGGTGCAAGCCCCGCTTGCAGAACTAGCCATATTTATAATAGTTACAACATTCGTGATTACTGCTAGACAAAAGCGTGGTAGCTGAATAGCAAAGGAGATATTTTTTGGAGGTCATGTACGCCTCGAGTAGTTTCGTTATGACATTTCTGTACATAGGCATATACAAGTATGGAAGCAATTTGCCAGAAAATGAGTGGTGTGTCGGAAGCATTGACGTTCATGTCATGAAGCTGTGGCTATATCTCAATGTCGCATAAATTAAATTAAACCTTAGTAATAACGACGTGCCGAGCTGAATATCGGATGTACACAGCCTATCGCCCGGCCCCCGCCTTTAGTCCCTGCAGTTGCACCTGGTCAAGAGAACAACCCTAGTTTTCCACTGACACGGCAACCTCCATGGTGGATCCAAGCAGTGTTCCTCAAAAGGGAGCTCACAAGGACGATTGCCGTCAGGCGAAGCAGTGAGGCGTTCAATCCAGAGTATACGCACGTACGGCTAGCTTATCGTGAACGCAGTGAGCGCGAAAAGTCCAAGAAGGCAACTGGCGCGCCACTCACCGCGTCAGGCGTCCTAACAAACCAGGCTCCTGCGGCTCAGAAGACAACTCGGGAAAGTCAATTGATGACAGAAAGTGTAAAGCCTGCTCCGAAAGAAGGTTCTGAAACCGTTGTAAAGCCGAAGAAAAACAAGCCGCGTCCGAGCAAATCGTACGTCCGCAGGGTCAAATCTATATCGACTCTAGACTTATGGGTGCAACAGTGCGCGTGCAAGAATACAAGCAGCGAAAGCTTCGCTAACGACAGAATCGTCTCCTTCGTCTATAGGAATTGTAAAACCAGCTACTGATGTCAAAGAGCCCCAACTAACCACAGTACCCGTGTCGGTATCGTCTTCTCGAGTACCACCGGCCAAGAATACGCACTCCAAAGTGACACCATCAAGTCCAGACCCAGCAAAAGCTTCTGCATCTACACCAGATCTAACTCATAAGTCAGGCTCGAAACGGGGACCCTCAAAAACAAAACCATCAACATGGAAGATAGCATGGATGCTTAAAGAGACCACAGGGAGGCATATTCTCACCATCGACACAACATCATTGCAACCCGACAACAATCCCGTCCACTCCACAGAGGGCTTCGAAACTCTCTGCAGCTACAACTGGCAAAATGACGGTGCCATCTACGTTCCCGGCGGGCCTCCAAAATGGACACCTCCCCCATTACCAACCACCCTGGCACAGGACGCTGGACACCACTTCATCGACCAAAACGCCGCCCGTGTCCCTAAATACCCTTTCGAGCCCGCCTTCCGCGCCCTCTCCCTCATGAATCCTGAGACAAACCTAACCACCGTCGATATCCTTGCCAACCGCAATTCCCTCCGCAAACTCCTCGATCTATCCGCAGGCAAAAAACTCGATCCTTTCTGCATGGGCTTAAATCTCATCAACAACACCCTCGTGATAAGTCGTAAAGAGCGTACCGCCCAGCACATGGTGCACGGCGCCCCGAACTCCGGTTACGGGCATAACTTTGAAAGAGCATTTACCACACCTGATCAGGATCTAGGAAATTCGAGTAGCCATCATAGAGTGATTCGGTATCGGATTGGGCCGCTAGATTGCGTTGTGAGGTTTGAAGTCGACGCTTACTATGACGACTCGGAGCACGATACAGCTGATGCGCTCACAGCTGCGATGAAAAAACTAGAAGTAGCAGAACATCCTTCGTCGTCGTCGACCCCCATGCAACTACCAGATGCACCCACGATAGCAGTCGAAAAAGGCACTTTCATTTCCCCGGCCCTTCTCGCAGAGATCAAAGCCAAGAAATTGAATCGCGTGGCTGACGCCATGCCGCAGCTGTGGTTCGGTCGCACGCCGTATTTTATCAATGGGAATCATGACAAGGGGACGGTGCATTCGGTTAGTGTTACGCGGGCGGAAGAGCAGTTTGAGAAGTGGGAGGCGGCGAATCAGGAGAGGTTAAGGAAGATGGTGGGGTTGATGGCGAGTATCAAACGGACGGTGAGGGGAATCAGAGGTGGGGCGGGGATACTGGTATATGATGTCAAGGGGGGCCCGTTGAAGGTGTATCGGGCGAGGAATGAGGAGGGGGTTTTGCCGGGAGATATTGTTAAGAAGTATTGGGGTATGTGAGGCTGAGGGAGTCGTAGTAAGCTTTGGGGTTTCTGTCGCCTCCTGAATACATAAGGGCATGTGGATCTGACATATATTTTTGATTAAGCGGTTTTGTGATGATAAATCTTTGTATGGTATTTAAAGATTTCAAAAAGGGGTATCGAAGAGACAGGCGTTCATGCAGACGTCAACAGGGAATATTTGGGGAATCATGAACTCGGAAGATTATGGTGCAAATATGCTGAACGAGAGACAAAATATAAAACAAGAAGACAAGAAGACAGTAGTGGTATCAAGAAGTAAAAAGACAAAAACTCAAAAGAACGAGGCGTAGAGATGTGCAAAACGTCGCCACCAAGACTCTTACAACCAAGCCCACTCAACCGTAACCCTGCCCAAATCGGGATCGGCCAGCTTTTTGAACATGGCAGGGCTAACATCGAGGTCGGCAGGTTTGCAGCCGGTACCTGGTATAGGATCAGCGCCAATTCACTGAACGAAAATAAGGTGGGCCGATACGGCCTGAGGTACTTACACCTATCAATCACAGTCACGTCGATGCTGGCCTCCTTACCCGTCCTCTCATCGATACGATGGGCACGGATCTTCCTGCCACAGAGCGAATTGGTGTTTGGATTGGCGCCCACTTGATTCTTGTCCCCTTTTGAGTCCACAATGTTAGTCGGCATGTCAAGTTGTGGTAGAGGAAACAAGACTTACAAAGGATATGGGAGACGGCTACGACTGGATCGCCGTCGCCGTGAGTCTGACCACAGGCACCAAGGGCCGGATTGTAATAGGTCAAGTCGCCCTCATAAGTTTGCGCCCCTCCAGGTAGAGGGAGGGCAGTATCACTACCACGCGGAATTAGCAACGACAAAGAAACCAGAATTAAATAACGGCAACTTACTCGGACTTGCCAGACAGGCCAACTGCCAGGCCTATGATGAGTGCCAAAAGAAGAATGAAGGAAGCGCCGATAATAACAAGGAGTGTACGGCGGCTGATGCGATTGTTGAAATATCTTTTGTGTGGTGGGAGCAAGTTGTCGAGACGGCGAGAGATAGTTGAACCCAAGGCGCCTCCCGTTACGCCCGCAAGAAATCCTCCACTAGACGCATTCCGTCTTCCATTGGTTCCTCGATCATCCGTCACACCCTGCTCAATTGAAGAAGCGGAGTCGTCAATTGCCGTCTCTTTCTTTTGCTGCTCTGAAAGCGCATCCTGATGATGCGCAGGGGCATTGAATCCTGGTCCAAAGGCAGCGGTCGCGATATCAGGAGAACCATCCTTTAAGTGCGCCTGCGCAGGTTGTGGAAGTGGTTTCCTGGTAATCGTTGAAGAACTCATTTTCTAAGGAATGTCGGCGCGTAACTGGCGCGAAAGGGTATATGTAGAGAGATGTTCGCAACAAAAACGCATCACGCTGTGGTGAACCAATGGCAAAAACCAAAAGAGTGAACAGTTCAGACAAAGTGCCTGAACTTAACAAAGCGCGTCAAGATAAGGGTCCAGGATGGAGTGTGGAGAAGGAGGGGTCTTGTGGGTCGGAGAGTGAACGTCAACAAGGGGTCAAGGCGGCAACGTTTCGGCAGTGGGCGATTCGCCGAGGCTCCTCCGAACTATCCATGTCAACCTCAACTCATCCACCAAAGCCGACACATCATTAACCCTTGAGTTGACACACTCATCCCACCGTGGACCAGACGTCGCCCGTAGCCACATAATCCTTTCACTAGCCACAGACCCAATACCGACTTCGCCTGCACGTCGCTCCGTACTGTCGGACTCAAAACTTCATACGTCGCTCTTGGGCACGCCACGGGCCTTGTAGCACTATCTCAGTACCATCTGGTACATAGTGAGAGAACACAGCCATGGCGGAACAAAGCATCAACGTTCCCCAGGTACTCGTCTTCATCGTCGTCACCTTCCTAGCCGTGCGATGGTACTTTAGCAAACCCACACCAGCAGCGCCTGGCACACGAGCAGCCGCAAATCGCGCCACACCCCGTATCAATCTGGCGCAGATTGACCAGGTAGCTGAGATGTTACCACAACTAAATAGAAGGGACATTGCGTGGGATCTGCAACGAAACGGTGGGAATATTGCAGCAACAACAGAGAGGGCGTTGAGTGGGAGGGGCTTGGATACGGTAGGACTCATTCATGGGCATGTGTTAAAAAAGAACCTGGTTCGCTGACGTTGAGATAGGCACCGCCATCTTTCCAAATACCTGCACCGCGCGCTTCACCTGCACCCGCTCGACCAGCCGCTGCACCAGCAAAGCCTTCACATCCCGATCTGATTACACGATACAACCTATCTTCAAAGATCAATGAAGCACCCCAGGCTGCGCAAGAAGAGCAACCAAAGTCAAAATCATGGAGTGCAGACAAGAACGAGAGGCAGGCGAATCTGCAAAGGAGGAGAGAGGAGATGATTCTGGCAGCACGGAGAAAGTTGGAGGCACAGGAAAAGGCAAAGGCTTCGGGAACAAGTGCATAGAGGAACGTGGTACAACCGTTATACTAGATCTGGTAAACTTGCCAAAGGCAAGCGTACACGGTCCACGATCAGTCGTGATATTCTAGATCGATCTTGCATTAATACCAGGATCCATTCAACTGTTCCGATTTAATATGTATTCCCCGTCCAGATCTTGTCATCGCCACACTTTATGCGCAATCAATAGCGACGGTATACTATATTTGTCCTATATCTCCGTCATAAGCCAATAATGGCGCTGCATCCGCAGCAGCCCCCAATCGATTTGGGGGCCAAAACTATACCGCATGCATGCCTCACCAGCCTCAAGCAGCCCAGAAAGTGGAGACCCTCCCCTTGCCATGGACCTGGGGAGGGGTGAGTGATTTTGGATAATTCGACCGAATACCATGTCTACTTTACGTACATAGGCATGGGGCGTAAGTCCCCCCCCCCTCCCCCGCGCCCGCCTGTCGTTTATTTTTTCTGTTCTTGATCTTTTTTTTGTTGCCGTATATGTCTAATACAGCTGAGATCTGGAGTGCCCTGGGGACTCCGGCGCGAGCTGCTGCTCGCATTCTGCTAGCCCCGCGCTACTTGATCAATGGCTTTTCGCGCCTCCGTGAGTGGAACGACAATGCGTGGGCGCGAACACGGTACGGGCCGTCGTATCGCTACCGTCTGTGGCTGCTGTTTGATGCGCGAGATCTGGAGGTGCTGGAGCATATAATCAATGAGGGTACTGATAAGGAGGTACTTGAGCTGCGAGAAGCAAAGTTGGAGCAGTTTAGGCTTGTGGCTTTGGTTGTATGTTTCCCTTTCTTATTTTATCTCTTTTGCATTTCTTCGTTTTGAAGGCGTGTTCTGCTGCTACGACTATTACGTACCCCGCCTCACCTTCACCCCCACTGCCACGATAGCTAAATCCTTTTCCAGGGCGCATTGCTAGCAACATTAGCACTCCAGGCAATGTCGCTGCCTCAGCTTTCTGATACGACGTTTATTGTTCGTTCTTGCTTTACACAAGGCACTATGCTCTCCCTACTCGCTACATTCTTCACCTGCATTCAGCAACGCGAACTAGGCTTCGTTCGCACCGCGTCTTCACTGCGTATATGGCTTTCCAACGGCGTCCAGTATCGCGATTCCCGTGAGCATCTCGTATGGCAGAGTTCGCTTGCTTCTCTAACGCTAATGGAGGCGCCTTATGAGCTGATCTCGCTGGCTGTTACTAACTTCGTATGCGGTATGTCGGCATATATGTGGAGCGCTTGGAAGGATAATCTGCCAGTGCAAAAGGAGGAGGATGTATTGCGGAGGATCGCGGTGTTGGTGTATTTTGCGGTTGGGACCGGCTTTGCTTTTACGCTTTTTCCTGTGCTGCTGGGGAGCAAGGATGAGGAAGGGAAGCTTGGTTGTATGGAGATGGATAGTTTAATAGATGGGCAAGGCCATGATCAAGGAAGGTGGGATGAGGGAAGGGTAGAGGTTCAGCATAAGAGGGCTCGGTAGCGGTAGTGTGTGTCGTCAATCATCATGACAAATGCAAGTTTTCGGTCGTTCCATCAGAATGTTACGTGTGGAAGTGAGCTGGATTTTGAGTAAAAGAGGCTTATCATGTGTTCCTCTAATACTATAGGGAGTTTTGGTATGAGTTTCCAGATGTAGAATAGGAGGTAAATGTGGCGGAGACAGATACTCAGCAACTTCTCATTTCCAATCCAGGGAATGCTGGAAGAACCACTACAGAACGATATTCCACTTGTTTCATAAGTGAAACAGCAAGAATATCAACCATACTATTCTATGGTCTGCTTAATAGTTTGAAATCTCAGAAGCTTGCCAGAGTTGTTTCTAAAGGCTCCTTCCTATGTGATTCGAAAAGTGCCGATAGTGCTTCAAATTTACCATAAGCGACTTGAAGAAATAAAACAAAAGGCTTGAGCATTAGATGTCTCGTTATCATAAACAGGCGGTGTTGCAATCAGGAAGCTACCACCCACGCCCACTTACAATTCACTACGTAAGACCGCAACCATCTCCAAAAGCCACCAACCTCTAAAAGTCCGCATTCCCATTTCCCCAGAACCACCTACTTCGTCTAGCCCACCCTCTTTGCCAGTAATCCCACATTCACCATGCTAATCGCACACCCCGGCCCCTTTCGCCTCCGCAGCCTCGAAAACAAGCCATGTCGTTCCCGTCTCGGCGTCTCGGCGGGATGATATCCCGTTTATCCCGGCGCCCGCCCAATAACCTCGTTCCCCAGGTACTCATGTAGTAATACACTACTGGTACCTTGCATACGTATTTAGCCCGTCCAGCCGGCCCAGCTCTAGTATTTCTTCCCTCCCCCGGGCGGGCGCGGGGAACAAAATGTACCGTCAATGATATCGTTGCGCTATGTACGCACAGGGAAAGCGAGCATCCTTGAATGGCGAACGGGGCGCAAGAATAGATTTGGAGCTTATGGGTTAAAGCACATAAGCTGTGTTGACCGCCCGTCGCTCGTAACTTTTGATCCAAGGGCATTTCTCTCGTCGCTTTTTGTTGTTTTCGTTGACACCGTGTTTTGGTGCAAAGGGACGCAACTATGCGGCTCTCACGCATTGTCGCTGTCGCGGCATCGCTCGTTTACAGCGCTCTCGCTGCGAATAATGGGTTGCAGACGACCGTGGAATGGGATAATGGCTCGTTGATGATCAAAGGCGAGCGCATCATGATTATGAGTGGAGAATTCCGTACGTATAGCCCTCTTTGCCTTCCCAAGCACATACACGAAAAAGACCAACGGAAGTCACTACTAACTACAACCCTTTTTGTCTCAAACCACAGACTACGCACGCCTCCCCGTCCCCGCCCTCTGGTCTGACGTATTCCAAAAATTCAAAGCAAACGGCATAAACACCGTAAGCATCTACTTCTTCTGGTCCTACCACTCCGCCTCACGCGGCACCTACGATTTCACCTCGCCAGCAAAAGACCTGCAGCGTCTCCTCTCCGCAGCCCAAGAAGCAGGCCTCTACGTTATCGCGCGCCCAGGCCCTTACTGCAACGCCGAAACCAACGGCGGCGGCTTCGCTCTATGGACCAGCGACGGCAGCGGCGGCAAGTACCGCACGAGCGACGCCACCTACCGCGAAACATGGTCTGAATGGGTCGCGCAAGTCGGAAGTATCATTGCGAAGAACCAGATTACAAACGGTGGACCTGTGGTGCTTACGCAGGTGGAAAACGAGTTGCAGCAGACGCGATATGTGGCTAACGATACGCTGGTGTTGTACATGGAACAGCTCAAAACTGCGTTTAAGGATGCGGGCATTGTTGTTCCGCTGACGCATAATGAGAAGGGGTTTCGGTCGAAGAGCTGGTCGTCGGACTACAAGAATGTCGGTGGCGCGATTGATGTGTATGGGTTGGATAGCTATCCTGGTGGTATGAGTTGTACGAATCTCGACACGGGGTTTAATCTGCCCAGGACGTATTATCAGTGGTTCCAGGAGGTGTCGCCGTCGCAACCAGAGTATCTGCCTGAGTTTGAGGGCGGCTGGTTTCAGCCGTGGGGCGGTTTCTTTTTTGATCAGTGTAAGGCGGAGCAGAGTCCGGAGTTTGCGGATGTGTTTTATAAGGGGTTGGTTGGGCAGAGGGCTACGTTGTTGAATCTGTATATGGTATGTTCTATCTCTATCTCATTCAGACAAGTAAATGAGATAATAGATGGTGTAATAATATTGCGACGACTAACAACTCTTACAGGCGTATGGTGGCACGAATTGGGGTCAGCTCGCTGCACCTGTCGTCTACACTTCATACGATTACAATGCGCCTCTCCGCGAGACTCGCGAGGTTCGCCCAAAATTCTCACAGTACAAACTTCTTGCTCTGTTCACACGTGTGAGCAAAGGCCTGCACAATACCTTCATGGAAGCAAACGGTACAGCGAATGCCGTCTCGAGCCCCGCCATCTGGACCTGGCAGCTTAAGAATCGCGAGTCAGATGCGCGATTCTACCTTGCTGAGAATAATAATACGCGCACGAGGGATGTGACTGGATTTTCCATGACGGTCAAGACGTCCGAGGGCGATGTGACGATCCCGAGCATGCAGCTTGCCGGGCGGCAGAGTAGATGGGTTGTCACGGATTATGCGGTTGGAGATGAGACGCTGCTTTACTCTTCGGCGGAAATTGCATCGTACGGGTTGTTTGATCGCCCTGTACTTGTCTTCTACACGCGGCAAGGTCAGGTTGGTGAGTTTGCCTTCAAGTCGCGTGGTAACCTGACCTTCAAGTCGTGGGGCGCAGAGTCCGATATTGCAAGGGCACCAGCAAACGGGACATATTCTCGCTTCAGCTTTACACAAAGTAAGGGAGTGACGGTTGCCGAGTTCTCCAATGGGGTTCTGGTGTACCTTTTGGATATTCCATCGGCATGGACGTTTTTTGCACCGCCAACGACCAATGATCCCAACGTCACGCCCGATAAACAAATCCTCGTCCGCGGCCCGTATCTCGTGCGGTCAGCAAGCATTACTGATGGAACTGTTGCCATAATTGGTGATAATGCAAATGCAACCTCAATAGAAGTCTACGCTGGCGCAAACGTTGAGACGATATCCTGGAACGGCCGCAAACTTGACACCACAAAGACGCCATACGGTGCTCTTACTGCAAATCTTGAAGGGACTGCAGATCGCCAAGTCACACTCCCTGCACTTTCCAACTTCAAAGCCGCAGACTCGTCACCAGAAATCCAACCCTCGTACGACGACGCCAACTGGGTTGTTGCGAACAAGACGACTACCCTTAGTCCAGTCAAGCCACTTACACTACCTGTTCTCTTCAGTAGCGATTACAAGTTTTACACGGGCGCGAAAATTTACCGTGGCTACTTTTCCGGCAAGACAGCCACCGGGTTCAACATCACAGTGCAAGGAGGCGTAGCTGCCGGATGGAATGCGTGGCTCAACGGACAACCCCTGGGATACCATGGAGGCAACGCGTCACTCACATCAACCACAGCGCAGCTGTCCTTTGGCAACGCAGCACTGTTGGACCAAGGCAATGTCCTGACAGTGGTTACCGATTACACGGGCCATGATCAGACTTCCACCGGACCGGCAGGAGCCCAGAACCCCCGCGGCATCCTAGGCGCACAGCTCCTCGCTGGCAATGGAACCAAGCTACCTTTTGACCAGTGGAAGATCCAAGGAAATGCTGGTGGAGAGGAAAACCTGGATCCCGTTCGTGGCCCGATGAACGAAGGTGGTCTCTACGGCGAGCGTCTAGGCTGGCATCTCCCCGGCTTCGATACTGCATCCTGGGAGTCTGCAACTCCAACAGTCGAGGGCGTCAAGGGCGCTGCGATACGCTGGTTTGCTACTACCTTTTCGCTCAATATCGATGCTGATCTTGATGTTCCGATTGGGATTGAACTAGGGGCGCCCAAGGACACGATTGCGCGCGTCATGCTGTTTGTGAATGGATACCAGTATGGCAAGTTTGTGCCGCATATTGGACCGCAGACGCGGTTCCCGGTTCCGCCGGGTATACTCAACATGAGAGGGGAGAACACGCTGAGTGTGGTTGTGTGGGCGCAGACGGACAAGGGGGCCAAGCTGGATACGTTGAGATTGGTGGAGTATGCGCGGTATGAGAGTGGGTTTGGGTTTGGCGAGATTGATGGTGAGGAGCTGCAGCCGAAGTGGGAAGATCGAAATCAGTATGCTTGAGAAACCTTGTTTCGTAAGGAGACAGTGGGAAAGAATACAGGGATTCACGGCAAACGGGGAGTTCTTGATTCCACTACTCACATGAAGTAGCACTTTGGATACCATTTGGGTCTCTTGTACATATTTTTCGTAAGCATGCAGTCGCTAGTACAAATGCAAAGTAACAGCCATAAATGCGAAGGGTCATGCTCAGTCATCCCAACTGTCCTGCACACCGTCTTCAAAGTCGAGCACCATGTCGACCCAGTTTCCGCCGCCGTACTGACATTTGCTAGGACCAATCTTCTTGAAGCCTGCTCGTTCGTAAAAGGGAATATATCGGTCTCTACAGATGAGGGCTATGCGCGTGGCGATGCCCGAGTCCTTTATTCTTTGGACGTAGCTTCGCAGTAATATAGAGCCGAGTCCCTTTCGGGCAAAGTTGGGGTGCACACAGAGCGAGTGGAGACATACAGTTTGGCCGTCTTCATTGTGGCCAGTGGAAGGTGCTAGCTGGTAGTTAGTCTTCCAGTCCTTTGGATAGTCCATTGCTTCATCGGTGACAAGAGGGGAATTCGATTTGGTGGATATAATGTGGGCGAGTAGAATGCGTTTTCGATCACTGTCGGTGGAATTTATTGAAGGAAAGGTGCGTGTCTTGAGGATCTCGCCCAGAGGCCCTGAGGTGGTGGGGTAGGCGGATGAGAAGAGGCCGCTACAAAGTTCGCCGCATGTTCGCAGACGGTAGTCGAGCTAGAAGAGGTTAGTGGGGGATTCCAAGTGGCACAGTAGGGCGAAGACGGTTGGTGGTCGAGTGTTAGCAGGGAAGGAACACAAGCGATTACCATGCAGCCACTGGCCTGTAGCACAACAACGAACATGTACACAAGACATGACGGATGGTGAAAAAGCACATGACCAAGCAGTATGCAGTGACCGTTGATCTAGGTAATGTAACGTGCACCAAGGAGAAGAAGAGGTGGGTGGCAGATGCCATACGGAGTCCAAAGGTGGTACTGGACAGATTGACACCGAAGCACACAGATACGGAAGAGTACCAAGACTAGAGGAAGAAAGGAAAGAGACGGCAATGTAGTAGAATTGGCCTCACCTTTTCTCGGGAAGCGGCCTCGATGGGATCGAAAGCGGCATGCTCGAGCCAGTCGCAGTCATCGAGATCGTCGATGTTGAGCAGGGAAGAGTAGGGACGGAGACGCATTTGCCTAAGCTTTTCCTCCTGGGCAATGCTTGAGCTGCGATGGGGTACCAGACTCGACGACTGTTCCTTGGGTTCCGGGCTGGCTAGGGCGTCTGGTTCTCTGGACAGTTTGGGCATGCTCTCGAGCGTCTGTTTGTCGGCCAGCAGGTCTCGTGGCATGGTTGCTTTGGAGTATGCAGGCGGCGGCAGGTGAGCGAGCGAGCGAGAGAGAGAGAGTGAATGGCACTGCAGGACAAGTAGCAGACGGACGAGCACAGGGTGGACAGGGTGGAGAGTCCAGGCGTGGACATGTCACGGGACTCACTCACCGGCCTCGCCCCGCCTTTACTAGCGGCTCGCTTGGCCTGCCGTTGTAGATCCCTGCCATCACGTGACTCGGCTCAGGCTTAGGACATGGGCATACCGTATCCCGAAGGATTACAGGCCTCGTCCAGTTGCCGATGGGGCCTGAACACGAGATGCAACGGCCAGGTAGATTGACTCGCCCCGCATGTCCTGCACAGTGGAAACGTGTTGATTGGAGTCTGGGAAATCTTGGGTAGCTGCCAGGTGGGGGATAAGCTCGTATCCATGTATGTACTTGTCTGTGTATAACTACTGTGTACGTCTATGTAAAGTAGTCGGTAGGGTAGCTACTACGTAGTCAGAGTAAAAGCAGTAGGGATGCGACTGCCCCGCTTCCTCTGCCCCCCATCTGCCCCCCTTGCTCCCAACGGCCAACGACGTCGTCTCAACTCATGACAAGCGGTGCTCCTTCGACTGCACGCCTTTGTCCCAGCCCGACGACGCTGGTACATGACAGGGTCACCGTCTTGCTGCCCTACTGTACGCGCTGCTCCCACTCCCACAACATGGCGGCCCTGCAGCCTGTGCCCTCTGATCGCTGATTCATCTGATCCGTCCGCCGCTGGTCTTGCGGCTCCACTGCCTTCCATTTCCTTCCAGCCTCTCTGAGACCCCAAGCCGGCAACCGTCATCCACAAAGGCCTCTGCGCCCACCAAACACCACAAAGACCCTCAAGGCCCTGCCACCGTGCTACACTCTTTGCCCGCTTCCAGACTCGCCCGCATACGCCCCAGCGCCCCTCCCCGACCCGCCATGTGAGTCCAACCCGGAGCCGTTTCTGTCCTACCACCACCACCACCACCACCATCACCACCTCCCACGGCCAACACTCTTCCAGGCACACTGCTAACCTGCCCTCTCTAGGCCGCGCGTCACCATATCCATCACTGCGCCCGGCACCCCCGCCGACGCAGACCTGCTGACGCTCGAACTGCCTCCCGGGAGCACCATCAAGGACCTCAAGGGCTTCATCGAGGCCGACACCAGCCTGCCCGCCGCCGCACAGAGCCTCTATCTAAACGGCCAGCCCGTCGCCATCGACACACAGACACTAGAGGATGCCGGTATCAAGGATGGTGAGATGCTGGCCGTTGTATTGCGCGCCGCACCTCGACCAAACAGGAACATGCACCAGTCGGGCAGACCAGCCCAGCCCGATCCAGAGGGTGTGCGACAACTGGTCCTCAACGACCCCCAGCAGATGAACAAGTTACGCCAGGCCGACCCGGAACTCGCCGCCGCCGTCAACGACCCCACCAGATGGAGGAATACATATGCCCAGAGGCAGCGCCAGGCAGAGGAATCAGAGCGCGAGCGCCAGAACCAAATCGCCCTGCTCAACGAGGATCCTTTCAACGTCGAGGCCCAGCGCAAGATTGAGGACATCATTCGCCAGGACCGTGTTGTTGAGAATTTGCAAAAGGCATATGACGAGAATCCAGAGGGTGAGTACTGGCATGGTTTCACATATGTTGTTTTCTTAATTGTGAAATCCCTCAACTTCTTAAAAATTTATTGGTAGTATTGGCTGAACCACAAACACTGACATGATGCAGTCTTCACGCGCGTACACATGCTCTACGTCAACACCGAAGTCAACGGCGTGCCCGTCAAGGCCTTTGTCGACTCTGGCGCCCAGGCCACCATCATGTCTCCCGACTGCGCAGAGCGATGTGGTATCATGCGACTAATGGACGTCCGATATGCTGGTATGGCACGCGGTGTCGGTACAGCGCGCATCTTGGGTCGTGTTCATCATGCTGAGATCAAGATTGGAGGCGCAGTTATGCCTTGTGCCTTCACTGTCATGGAAGGCAAGGATGTCGATCTTCTCTTTGGTCTCGACATGCTGAAGCGCTACCGTGCCAAGATCGATCTCGAGAAGAATGCGCTATGCTTTGAAGGCCAGGAAGTTCCCTTTTTACACGAGTCAGAGATTCCCAGGAGCTTCGAGGAGGCCGAGTTGAATGAACCTACCGTTTCCGGACCTAATGGTGAAGAGATTGGTGCAAAGACTGGTGCTGTGCGACCCAAGGGCTCTTCGCAAGCTGGCCCCTCCAACACTGGCGCATCATCGTCATCGTCGTCTCAACCCGCACAAACCCAAACCCAACCAACAGCGCCCAAAGCGCCTGCGCCTTCTGGTTCAAACTCCAGGTTTCCCCGCGAACACGTCCAGCAGCTCACTGGCATGTTTGGCTGTTCTGAACAAGAAGCCATACAAGCCCTGGAGATGTTTGGCGGTAACGTAGAGCACGCTGCAAGTTTCCTCATTGGCGGTTAGCGCCCGACTTTGAATCAAAGATAGAAGGAAGGCATACTCGGAATCATCAACATGTCGAGGGTTTCCTAAACGACGCTTACTTGGGACCGCCATAAGCCTGTATGGCACGAGTTCTCCTGTATGGAGTTGATTCGAGGAGTGCACCTAGTTTTAAACGACCGAGTAGACGAACTCGTGGAAAAAAAATACGGCGTTGGCATGGTATAGCATAGCATATCCTGCATGTGTACTGCTAACAAGTACGATTGGAATACACAAGGGTTTCATTGAGGACAACGTGAACAACAAGTAGTGGAAAGGAAAACGGAAGAAAAAGAGATGTATGATTGAATCAAACACTTTTTTTTTCGAAAAAAAAGGTGATTTTTATCAGAGCATCATGAACCCCGTGATCCAAGACACACATGTGTCTCCCTGTTATCCACTCACTCCCGCTTACTATTCACCTAATCTTGTACAAACACGGCTTCAACACCGCATTATCTGCCTCGCCCTCGCCCTCATCATCAGCACCCAAGCCCATACGCTTGCCCTTGAGTCCAAACTTGAGCCCGCCACCCCTCTGTGCCACGGCTCCCTCCTTTTGGTCTTCACGCGCATTCTTGCCCCGGCTGGGATGCGCCGCCTTGACAAACTGCATCTTGACAAACATCTTGTTGCTCAGATCAATCGCATCACCAGGCCGCTCGGGCAGCGCATCGAGCACAAACCCCCGCTTGCGCAGGACATTAACAAAAGCCGATACATCTGTTCCTTCCTTTGCGTCCTGTCCATCTACCACAACCGCCAGTTCCGCTTCATCTTCCGAATCCTCGGGCCCTTCCTCCGGCGGCTTCTCGCCCTTCTGTGCCTTCTTCTTGTTGTTCTTGGAGGCTGCAGCGAGTTTCTTGCTGTCCACCGGTTTCCTTAGTGACCCGATGGAATTGATCGGCACACCACCTTTCTTCTTGTCCACGCGGCCAAACCGCGATTTAATCTCGGACACCCAGAGCTCGCCGCGCCAGCGCAGGATACGATATGCCTCGTCGATGAAGTCGAGCCAGTTTGTGCCCATGAGGGCGAGACAGAAGATTGCGACGTCGACGCTGTTGTCCGCGAGCGGTAGGGCGGCGATGTCGGCGACGGTGACGAGGTCGGCCGAGGGTCCACTGGGCTTGGAGAGGTCGAAGGAGTGGAAGGTTAGGTTTAGGGAGTTTAGGTGCGGTTGGAGGCGATAGGAGAGCGAGGCCGTGCCACAGCCTAGGTCGGCAATTGTGCTGTGGCCTTTGAAGTCGCGGGGGAGGGGCTTTGCGTCGCCACGAGGAGGCGCGATGGAAGTGGCTTCTTGCTCGTCTTCGAAGCCTGGGCCGCGGCGTACGGCAGCCTTGTTTTGTGCTTTGCGGTCTTTGCGCTGGTCTTTGTTGCGGAGTTTGGAGCGGACGAGGATGCTGTTTACGTAGCTGTCTACGGGATTCGAGGGCCATACTTCGACTTGCTGTGCGAAACCCCGGTGGTAGTCTTCGAACATGGAAGGGTCCTCTTTGAAGAGCGAGGCGCTGTCGGCAGAGGGTTTCGTGTAGAGTGCTTCGTTTAGATGGCGGAAACGGGCGCTGGCGAGCTTGCTGCGCATAGAGCGTTGCAGCGGTGTGAGGCCCTTGGGCTCGGGCAGGAGGTTTTCGAGGGTTGGTGCCACTGGCACAGCTTTTGCTTCGGCTGCGTTCGCGGCGAGGAGTTTGTCGGCTTTGGACTCCTTCTTGCGCTTCTTCTTGTCGCGTTTCGACTCGCCATCGGTAGCTGTACTCTTTTCTTCAGAGGCCTTTACAGGAGAAGGCTTCACTTCTTCTTCTACTTGTTCTGATTCCTTTGTGCCATTCTCATCCTGCTGTTTATCTTTGTTGCCTCCAGCCTTTCCCCTCTTCCTCTTCTTCCCACGCTTCTCCTGTGTCGCATCATCTGCCTCTACTGCGCCATCTGCCTCCGCTGTCTTACTCTGCTTGACCTCTCCACTCTTGCCACTCGTTATGCTCTCCCATTTTTCCGCCAAATTATCCACATTGACCTCCTTCTCTTCGCGCCTTTCCTTGCGCTTCTGCGCCTTCTTTCCAGGTTTAGTCTGATCCTTTGGCTTGGGCGCTTCGACCTGCGTCTTGACCTGCGCGGAGACGTTCCATCCGGGTACCGCGAACATATTTCCGAGGGTATATAGGCAGTATCCGGTGTAGGTGTTTTGTCAATGGAACGTTGGACAAAAAAAAGTTCCCGGCGTAGCTCGAAATTTTGGGCGGCGGAAGGTTTGGCCGGCATGTGGGGCTTTCGCGCGGAGTTGCTTACCCACTAGTTTTGAACGTGAATGTGGACATGGGTATTTACAGTTCTCACAACATCAAAGTAGTTATATGTAAATCGCACGACATGTGATCGGAAAACTAGGCTCTCCGTGAGCACCTGGGGATATGCGACAAAATACTGTTCGCTGTTTCGCGAGCCATCATGAAACATCCATTCCACTTGCATTCCTCAATATGCCACTCGCATCTCTTATTACATTCGGGTCACCAGAGCCACTAGCAAATCATGACAGAAGAAACGATGTAAAAGAATGTATGGTAAAGATGACATTATACTTGAATCTCGTCTCATCGACAAGGTAGATAACATCATGCAGCCGTACCATAAACCATAGGCAGACGTGATCTCACCCACTGGTTCCCCAATTGACATATGCACATTCTTCCTTCCCTCCTCTCGTTTCCCGAAAACATGGGGAAAAGCCCCTCAAGACATTTACAAAGATACCAGGCTTAAAAAGTAGAGTTTTGAGAAAAGAATAAACTCCGGCCCAGCGCCAAACCGCTCTAATGATGATCAAATAAAAAGGATGTGATGACGAATTCAAAATGTTACTTTTTGTTCGGCGACAATCAGTCACCTACACACCCATTATTCTTGGTGATGTGGTTGCTGCGAGATACCCTGCTCCTTCTCCTCAATACTCTCGCTCTCTCTTGGGACAGCGAAGCTCTTGCGGACAAGCATGTCAGCCTTTGTCTTGGTCATGAGCGCATCGCGGATGTCCTGCTTGCTTCGCGCCATCCAGCCGCTGTAGTTCTTGTGGCTGAGCGGCCAGATGGGCATGTTGCCATCGCGGCGCATGTATTCGCGAGCAACAGGTGGCGGCTGAGAAGTGATGTAGTCAATGTCCATTTCTAGTTCTTCGCAGAAGGCTTCGAGGGGCAGATCGTTAACGTCGTGGCCGAAGGGGTTCTCAATTTCGCGACCAATGGCGGAGAGACCGATGCTAGTAAACTGGGTTAGCAAATGTAAAACGAGTAAACGTATATGGATGGAACTTACATGATGTATGCTGCGAAGATACAGCCGGGAATAGTGATCCAACGGAGACTATCCCACAGTTGGAAAGGCAACATCATGACGTAGACCCAGGTGATTTGAGAAATGGCGATCGAATAGGCAATAGGCAGAGGGGTTTGCAGGACACGGTCCATACCGATAAGGGCTTCATTGAGCTGGACAATGCTGGTAATGGCTTGGTTTTGGTACAGACCAATAGTCAGGGTTTCGTTTTCGATGAGGCTGTGGACATAGGCGGAGATGTGGTTGAGAATTTCGAGCGACAAGTTACCGAGAGGCTTCTTGGAGCGCTTGATCCTCTTGCGGGGGTTGGACTCGGCAAAGGTGACACCGAGATATTCACCAACGGCCTTCAACTTCTTCTTATCAGCGGGAGCGGGAATGTCGACTTCGGCAGCACGAGCAAAGGTATCAAGGAACTCAACACGATCGCGGAGATCGGGGTAGTCGATACCAGGCTCAAACCGAAGCCTGTGCTTGATGGAGCAGGCATATGCGTTGAGCAGATTGAGGGCAGACAGCTTGTTAAGCAAGTCTTCCTTACCAAGCTCGCCCTCGCGCTCCTTGGTGTGGATCCAGATTGTCCTTGCCAGGTTCTGGCTGACGAAGATAAGTTGACTCCAGTACTTGCGACCTTCAGTGTAGCGCTCATAAGCAGTGCTCGTGCGGAAAGAAATGGCCAGACCAACGACGAAACCAAGGACAGTGAGAAGCAAGTTGCTGACAACGAGAGGATAGACGAATTGTGAAATGCAGGTGATTGCAGTCGCCCAGATAGTAATAACGATGAGTGGCAAGATCATCTTGGGAAAGACGGAACCATGCATTCGCATGAAATATGGCCATTTGCTGTGTTTGGCCATGTCACGAGGTCCAACCTGAACACTACTGTTAGCCCAATTGTAAACACAATCAATGGAACGCGCTGCTCACAAAGTAGTCCTCGGCATCAAGGCTGCCAGTGGTCTGGCGCCTTGAAGGAACTTGGTAGGTGACAGCACGGTGTCGCCATGATCGTGGGGACATTGGTCCGTCATCGACATCATTCCCGGCTGAAGTAGGTCGGATTTCCAAGTTGTCCGGACGAAGCGTCTTGGACGTCGAAGTCGTTGACGGCGCCATTGTGTCGGCAAGACGGTCGAGAGATCAGCGCGCAACCGGCCAGCAGTTGAAGTAGATGGTGTGTTAGGGCCGGGCCAGCGAAGTGGTCAATGCTATAGCGAGGGGCGAGAGAGCCAGACCAAAAAAGGGCCCACTAAATGTTCGAGGTGTAGAGAGTGACACGAGTCAAAGAAGCGATGGAAAGAGTGGAAAGAACGTGTGGAGGGAACGTTCTGAATAAGAGGAGCAACAAGGCAAAAGGACGGATCAAGTCGGAGTAGGGATCAAGCAGCGTGTACTTAAATATAAAACGCGGCGTATACGAAAAATGGCAGCGATGGCAGCATCTGCACAAAATGCTTTGCGTAACCCAGTGGCGCCCACGGGGATTCGCTCCCGCGGGTCCTGGCACCGGCCATGGATGGTCAGACATGCGATGGCGAGGCCGGTTGGCATGCAGGGGCCGTTTTGCACAGTGTGCCCCTGAGCCAAGGCGGCGGCGGCTGGCCAATTGCGCGGGGGATGCTGGTGGGGGCCTTTCGTAAAGAATGCTCAGTCGCCTCAAGGTGCAAGGGGTGCGACGCGGAGCACTGTTTCATGAAACGTATGTTGACCGTGCCAAGTACGCCACTGGCGCTCTCTCTTGGTGCTGGGGAGTTGGCATCTTCTGGTTATGTGCTGGCTGCTCTGTTGCCACTTGGCGCCGATTGCCGTGTCTCTGTTGCAGCAATCGTTGCGATCGCGGGGTGGGTTCTCAGCATCCTTGATACTGCATGACTGTGGTCGCGTGTGATGGCCATGGTGCGGACAATGGCATGTTGGATCGACGTGCGTTACACATGTGTCAGGACCGATGATGGACGTGAGTGTCCGTGAGTGTCAATGGGTGTCAGTTAGCAGGTGGAGTGGCAGGATTGGATGCAGAAGGCGAGGTCTGGACAGTCTCGTGCCGAACCGAGGGTCGCCCTTGCCCCTGACACCGCCCAGCCAATAACAGCCCGCCCCTTTGACTCAGCAGTCAAATGCCTCGTCAGCATCGGGGCACAAGCATGGACATGCCTCGTCTGTCTGCCATTTCTAGATTGCCATGGACATGGCTGTGGCGTTCTAGCTCCCACACTATTTCCAGCGCCTCCCTTGCCCTACCCGACGCTATCGGGAATACCGCCATGTTCCACGACACTGTCCCATGCCTGACACGGCATATATCTCAGGAACCTCGTCGGCACGTTGGTAGCAGAACCCATCGTGTGCCTTCCCGCGATCCCTCCGTCCCCACAGCTCGGCGGCATAAGTAACGTTGAACGACAGAAAAGGAAAAGAAGCAGAGAGAAGAAAAAAAAACCACGCACCGAACATGCTTCAGTCAACTAATCTCCGAGCCCTTCGTCTCCACACCCAGCTATGACCCGTGAACGACCAAGAACATGCCCATTCTAAACCTGGAGTCCTGCCCCATCTGCCATCTACGTATTATCGCATCTGGATCCTCCTCATTTCTGCTCGCCCCCTCTCCAGCTCCACCGCTAGTCCTCTGGTCCTAAAAGTCACTCCGTCAACGCATATCCGCACGCGCTTGATTCTCTCGAGCAGCGTGCGGTACAGCCTTGCTCTCATATCTCTCCCATCCGTCGCACCCCAGATCTTGTCCCAAACATCCACCAGTTCGTTTCGTAAGCGCTCCGTCTCAGCCTCATCAGAGGGAGAAGAGGAAGAAGAGTCTGCTATTACCAGCGTATCCCCGTCACTTTCGTCGCCCCATTGACTCCCCAATGCCGTGCGTGCGCGTGGAACCACGTTCAGGATGACTTCGTCCACGCAGTCTATACGCCGGTTGCTGCGCATCTTATCCGGGCCGTTGTCAAACATGTGCTTGAGAGCCGCACATATAGCCCAGCTTGTCATTTCGCCATGCGTTGCTGCTGCTGCTGCTGCTGCTGACCCTGACCCATTCGATATCGTAGATCCAACCGGCCGAACATCCACCCACAGCCGCTCAATATCCGCGTAGGACCGTGTAAAAGAAAAGAGTCTAGTGCTGCTGCTTCCCCTCTTGACATCACTCTCCATCCACGCATTGAAAAAGCTGACCATCCAACTCCAGCCTTCCATGATCTTGCTAGTCCAGCTCTGCCCCCTCTCTTCCTCTATTCTCCGCGCACTCCCGTCCGCCGGCCTAACAAATGGCACAGCAAGCCAAGTAAAGTAATGCGCGTTGCTCTGTACCAGACAATCCAGTCGCGTAGCCAGCTGCCCCGCCTGCCGGGCCTTGCCGGCTATCTGCATCATCTCTTGATGGATCTGGCGATTGCTCGCCAAAACACTCGCGCACGTGCTCGGCATCGCTCGCGACGACAAAAAACATCGACTGCTGTCCGCGCTAGGCTGATGCGCCTGCCGTACCAGGTACCAATTGGCCGCTGTTTGTGTGTCTTGACCACTGGGGAGGGGCTCAGTTGGCATAAGCATCTCCGTGTAGATCATGTCCCGCAGTTCGCGGGGAAGCTCCAAGAACTGCATTGGCATCGTGAATAAATTCGCAATGGGTCCTTGCTGTGTTCTCGTATCAGGCGTTGATCTGTCGCTCGCGCTGGCGCGCCGGAACTAGATCGCTGCCTAGCCCTCTTCCCTCTTAACAATCGATAGAGACTCGGGTTGAGCCCTTTCAATTCAAACTTCTTTTCAAACAATGCTAAAAGAACGTCTCTTGCCAATTGCCAACTCTGTAGAAAACCCTTCTAGGCGTGCCTGACGATTGTTTCAGGCACGCAGGTACTCCCCGCATCAGCATGCCACAGGCGCGATGCTATTGTGTTCGAGACGGGTTTCAAAAAATGGAGGGAGGAAGCTGATCCTAAACTAAAACAGGGCACGCCCGACCGGTTCAAGCAATGCTCAGAAAGTATATATCGCCGGTGTTCGCTTACAAAAAACCAATACAGCTTTTTTTTCTTGCGAGATAGTTGGCAAAAGGCAATGGAGCTTCGGGTTTCCAATCCTCATATAAAACAAGTCAGCCCTCCCCGGGTTCTTGGCACCCAAGTCACCGGATTGGCCGTGACTCGGCCTCATCGGTCTAATACAGACGGACCATTGATCATTAGTAACGTTGTCCAGGCGCAAAGACCTAATCTTCTGTAAATCCTTCTAAATCAATAATATAGTATAAACATAAGATATAAACGGTCCCTTTCTTTACCCCTCGCTGCGCTTTCCACCGAGACCAAACTTTTTGCCCTTTCATCACACTTCAGTCGGCTGACGAAGCACGTGTAATCACAACAAAAAAACAAAAAAAACATTGACAACGGACACGCGCTTGTAGCAAGTAAAATTTTTATTCGACGATAAGAAAAATATGCTAGCACCTCATAAGCGCCAGCAGTACGTCGCGCAATAATAAATCAAGCAGACAAATATCACGTTAACACTATGCCTCCAACAAGAGGCAGTGACAGAGGTGACTGGGTCAGAGAGAGTTGCGAAGCGAAGTGTTTCTCTGACGGTTAGAGAAGAAAGAGTATCACGTTAACCTGCCATTTTCAAAGCAGGACAGAGGTGACTAGAGTGGGGTTTTTTTATGACTCCGTAGGAGCAGGAGCAGCCTCTGAGGGTTGCGTAGGAGCAGGAGCCTCTGCAGCGAGGGCCTGGAAGCCTTCGGTTGTGATGTTGACAGCACCAGCTTGTACGAGCTATACCCTGTTAGCATTTTGTTCCCCGAATAGCGTCTTCGGGGACTTACAGCACGGCTCAGATCATCGATTAGATCCTCTGGGTCCTCAATGCCAACGCATAGCCTAATAATGTCTTCAGGCATGTTCCTCTCCTTCCTCGTCTTCTCATCAATGCTTGCATGACTCATGCGGCAAGGCATGCTGATGAGCGAGTTCACACATCCAAAGCTTACACTAATACCCCAGAGCCTCGCGCTCTCGACAATACGTTCACTAACGGTAACATCACCTGTTTCAAAGGATAGCACAGCGCCAGCGCCACGTGCCATACTCCAGTGCAAGTCGTACTGCGGGTGCGACTTTAGGCCTGGGTAGCGGACCTTGAAGCCGTGCGACTCGAGGAAAGTGGCGATGCGCATGGCATTCTCCTGCTGCTTCTCCATACGAACACCTAGAGTCTTGATACCGCGAAGAAGCAGCCAGGAATCAAAGGGCGACAGGCCACATCCTGAAGCGTTGATGGTGAAGTAGAGTCGATCTCCTAGAGCAGAGTCGTTGACGGCGATGACACCAGCCATGAGGTCGTGGTGGCCAGAGAGGTACTTGGTGCCAGACTCATAGACAATGTCAGAGCCAAGGTCGAGCGGATTCAACAGCATGGGCGACATCATGGTGTTGTCGACTGCAACAATGGCAGTGGGGTTCGCGGCGTGGGCGATGTTGGCAATAGTGGGGATGTCGCAGATCTTGATCAATGGGTTCGTTGGTGTCTCGAGGAGCACCATGGCCGTCTTGTTGTTCACGACTTCGCGCACCTTTTCGGGATTCGTGGTATCGACGTGGTGCACTATTATGCCACCGTGTGTCGAGAGATATTTCAGCAGTCTGTTTGTGCCGCCGTACAGGTCATCGCCGGTGATGACTTCGTCGCCAGGTCGTAGGAGGCGGGTGATGACGTCGAGAGCGCCCATGCCCGACGATACGACGAGCGCGCGGTTTGCACTCATAATCTTGGCCAGATGTCGCTCGAGATGTGTGCGTGTGGGATTGCCTGAGCGTGTGTAGTCATATTCGCCGCCGCCGCCGCTTGCAGACTCTTGTTTGAACGTGGCAGACTATGAGTGTTAGCTGTGGCTCAAACGCAACTGTCCTTATCCATAGCAACGTGTTGGCTTACCTGGTAGATGGGAACGGAGCTGGCATTGTACTGGTCACTGCTTTCCGTGTACACCAGCTCCGTCATCAGTGCATACTTCCTGCCATTACGGGGCGAGCTGGGTGCCGGCGAGGGCGGTAGGTTGTGGCCGTCAATGTCGAGCGGAAGGGCAGCCTTGCCGCTGGCGTTGACCTTTTTGGAGCTCTCTCCAGCCATGGCAAGTATTGTGCGTCCGCGTTGCGGACTGGAAGGAAGATTGAGTGGCGTAGGGCTCACAAGATCTGTGATGCGCGTCGAGGGAATGAGGAAATGCAAGTGTTGAAGTACAGAGGAGGTCTAGTGCAGCAACAATGGACGCAATTCGCAGACTTTAAGCTTTCGGGAGCGTGAGTCCAAACATCAAAAGCATCAAACGGCACTTCCACAGGCCGTCTGCAAGGCACTCTAGTCCTGGCCTGTGGGGAGTCACCGCTGGAATTGCGCCATCGAGGGCAAATCGGCACTTTTCCCTCGCTCCGAACATCGCCCGCACGGTTCCGCACCGGAGCAACATGGGAGGGAGGGCATTTACCCCAGATTGAGATAACGAATCCACCACCTCAAGCATTCACAAAATAGCCACTCGCTGGCCCCCGAGCTATGCAAATGCCTTTTTATTACTTCAACGCACGGGTATAACTGCTTCGACCAATTTAAGCCTACACGAACGAATACAATCATTGCTACACGACATGCAGTACGCCCGAACCTGTCCGCCAAGACAAATGCCAGTCCTGAAGATACGACCATAAACGCCACGAATGCCCGCTCGTCATGAACCAACCCAATCCAGAGTCTGAAAACTTAAACCGCCCTCGTTTGCGCCAATTTATCGCGGGTTGATTGCAGGAAATCCCTTCCTCACATGAAGGTTCATCTTGAGTTCGAAGATACCTTCTTCCGTTCCGCAGTATAGTGTTCGCCCATCCTGGCTCATGGCCAGACCCGCTGTGCGCACACCCAAACGTGGATCGTGAGATAGGCGGTTCGGGCGGCGGATACCAAGGTTCATTTCATACGAATCTGCTAAAGTCTGGCTAGCACGCGCGTTTCGGAGACGTTCACGTGCTTGTGTTAGTTGACGAATTCGACGAAGTTCGTTACGTAGTTCAGGCACAGTAGCGTTGCTTTCAGTAGTAGATGGATGTGATGTCGTATTACGGTTCGCAGCCCGTGTCTGCTCAGCGGCAAGCACCTCCTCGACTGTGCGCCACGCTTCATCAGTGGATGCCATCAATTCGCTAGTCATACGACGTGCTTGTGCCGGCACTGGGTTTGGCGACCGCGTAATGCCAGAATCGGTAATGTTCGTAAGTGTTACTGGCGCGTTGATCGTGCCTTCATTAATTGAGACAATGACAGAGGCCTGGCGTCGAGGCGTTGTACGCTCATGGAACCAGCGGGGAGCATGATTCTGACCCGTCCTCTCAGACATGAACTGAGCCATAGCTTCGGCAACTTCTCTAGCCGTAGGTTCTCTACATTATGTTAGCCCAATTATTTCGATGACAATGGTTACACAACATACGGCACAGCGTCTAATGGCCCAGAAGCCGTGTAATTGATACTTCGGGGTGTTATTTCTTGCTCACGTGACTCTTCTCGTTGTCGGTGACTTGTTCGTAACGCACTGAGAACTTGTCTTTCGCGCGCTGTCAAGCCAAGAGGATCATTATCTGACTCAACGACACCCAGTCGGCGATGTAGCCTCTGGCGCTCGGAATCAGCCTCGAAATTGTACCTGTTTGTGACTGTTACAGTCGTTGTACTTCCTTCAGTGTCGAGTGCACGACGATATCTCCGAATAAAGTCTGCTTCCCGACGCAGCTCATGCATCTCTGGGCTAAGGGTCAAGTCGAAATCCGCCAGCTCCACGCTCTCTAGGCCTTCTTCTTTTGGATCCAATGTGACTATTTGTTTGACCTTCAGACCAGCTCGCAAATCAGCGATGCATACTCTGCCTTGATCTTCGCTCCATACGAGAAAGTCCCATGGCGCAGGCGAGAAGTGCATTGTTCGTACTGCACCGGGCCCAGCCCGAGTATCAGGTCGCGTGGAACTGAGCAACTGCAAAATGGCTTCTTCTCCATACTCGACTATCTTCAGAAGTTCAACATCAAACACGGTAATGTATCCACACTCTGACCCAACTGCACAAAGACGGCCAGACGGTGACCACGCCGTAGTAAAATAACCATCTGCATGCGAGTTTGCAGGCCGGTATAGGGTCACGTGCTTGAGTAGCTCCCACTCCGGCGGGGTCGATTGTATCCACCCTTCCGCCACCTTATTCTCAGACTTTTGTGATTTTGTTCTCTCAAAAAAGTACCCGATGGGTGCATCACCCACAGCCACCAACATTTGTCCATCTGGAGATATTGAAGCATGGTTCATCGCAAAGGGCAAGTCGAGCACCGCAAGTTCCAGATTCTGTGTGAGCGAGTATATGCGCACCGTCTTGTCGTTGTTGGTGAGTACCGCCACGACTTCATCCTCACCACCGCTCTCCCCGGGCATCTTGTGTATCGATATTGAGTTGACAATATCGGAACCAATCTTCTCGAGACGTATGTGCGACGCAGCACCCAGAAGGGGTGGCCGAGACAGGCGGTGTTCGAACTCCAGAGGCAACGAGGCATCGACGTCGGATGGGTCTGTAGGAGGGAAGCCCGTCACCTTGATGGCGGCAAAATTGCCGTGCTCCTCTCCTCCGACACAGACATAGCCGTATCCGGATGCAGTGCAGCGTGCTTCCCAGGGTAGCGTCGTTACGTGTGCTTGTGTTCGTGTAGCTGCATTCAGACAGTAGACGGCCGCGCCGCTCGCATAGTAGAGAAGGTCAGGCTCGGGACACGAGATAAAGTGGCGCAATTGGTAATGTCTATAAATGTTAGATTTCCACGGGGAGTTGGACGCCGTACAGTGCTCACGCGATGGGTATCTTTGTAGGATAGTAGGCTTTCTGAGCCAGCACAAAAGTATCCGTGTCTCGATTCCTGCTGCTGTTAGAAAAAGAAAAATAGAGAAAGACAGGCTCAAATACACACAGAATGTCATCGACTGCCATAATTCTGCGGTCAGGTGGCAGAGGGTTGCATGTCTCCGTGTCTGGCTAATAAGTGAGCGGAGCTGGTGAGGCTCGGCGGTACGAGGCGCTTTACGTCACAGGATGCTTGGGCGTGTGAATGTAGGAAGTAGATGGAGGAGATAATAATAATTTTCAGGTAAGAATGCTGTGCTGAGACTGTTTCCTATCAGAAGGCGTCCTGGTCGAGGGGTTGGAAATAGGGTGCAGTGCAAATGGACGTAAGGGTGGCAGTGTTTCGAGGTGCTCCGGGCGTCACCATCGACAAGCATCTCCCCCACACGCGCACGCATGCGCCAAGCCTTCCGCACTGGGACAGTTGTTAATGTCACCACCACAGGGCCGTTGTGGCGGCAGGGCCAATTGTGGAATGGCAAAAATACGCCTTTCGCCTCCCCTTTCGGGTTTATGTCGCGTCGTACAATATTTCGCTACTATTCGGAAGCACAGACATTTACAGCGGAACCTCGGCGGGCAATCCAGCACCAAAACGAGCTAGAACCTTCTCCGAGAATTTTGTCTATCGTCAAAGCTTCCATCACTACATCATATAATCCACCCACCCTCCCACCCATCCACTCTACACCCAATTTTTTCGTCGCCTGCATCCAATTCCGCAGCGTCTTACACAAGTCACAATGCTGTCCTCAAGGTTATCACGGAATGTAAGTAATTGTGCAATTGAACGAATAATCATTGTTGAAGCATTTTCTGACCTCATCGCAGTTTTTGCCTCGTGCGGCTTCGGCGGCGAGACGCACTCCCGCATTCAGGGCTCCGGCCATGTTTGCGCGAGGATATGCTGAGGGCGGCGACGAGAAGGTAAAGGGCTCTGTCATTGGTATTGATCTGGGTACCACCAACTCTGCCGTCGCTGTCATGGAGGGCAAAGTTCCCCGCATCATTGAGAACTCTGAGGGTATGTTGTAAACGTCATTTTGACTCCGACTGCAATACTAATAAAACTTTTTACAGGTGGTCGTACAACACCATCAGTCGTTGGTTTCACAAAGGAAGGCGAGCGTCTTGTCGGTATTGCCGCCAAGCGTCAGGCTGTCGTCAACCCAGAGAACACTCTCTTTGCCACCAAGCGTCTCATCGGTCGCAAGTTCACAGATGCTGAGGTCCAGCGTGACATCAAGCAAGTCCCATACAAGATCGTCCAGCACACCAACGGTGATGCCTGGCTCGAGGCTCAAGGACAGAAGTACTCGCCTTCTCAGGTTGGTGGTTTCGTCCTTGGAAAGATGAAGGAGACTGCCGAAGCCTACATGGGCAAGAACGTCAAGAACGCCGTCGTCACCGTCCCCGCCTACTTCAACGACTCTCAGCGTCAAGCTACCAAGGACGCTGGTCAGATCGCCGGTCTCAATGTTCTCCGTGTCGTCAACGAACCCACTGCTGCTGCTCTCGCCTATGGTCTCGACAAGGCCACCGACAACGTCGTAGCTGTCTACGATCTTGGTGGTGGTACTTTCGATATCTCCATCCTTGAGATCCAGTCCGGTGTCTTTGAGGTCAAGTCCACCAACGGTGACACTCATCTCGGTGGTGAAGACTTCGATATTACCCTCGTTCGCCACCTCGTCGACCAGTTCAAGAAGGAGCAGGGCATTGACCTGAACAACGACCGCATGGCTATTCAGCGTATCCGTGAGGCTGCCGAGAAGGCCAAGATTGAGCTGTCTTCTTCATCGCAGACTGACATTAACCTGCCTTTCATCACTGCCGATGCTTCCGGTCCCAAGCACATCAACACCAAGCTGACCCGCGCTCAGCTTGAGAAGATGATGGATCCTCTTATTAGCCGCACCGTTGAGCCTGTTCGCAAGGCCCTCAAGGACGCCAACCTGAAGCCCACTGATATCTCCGAGGTCATCCTCGTTGGTGGCATGACCCGTATGCCCAAGGTCACTGAGTCCGTGAAGAGCATCTTCGGTCGCGACCCCGCCAAGTCTGTCAACCCTGACGAGGCTGTTGCCATTGGCGCTGCTATCCAGGGTGCTGTGCTTGCTGGTGAGGTCACTGACCTTCTTCTGCTCGACGTTACTCCTCTCTCGCTCGGTATCGAGACCCTTGGTGGAGTTTTCACCCGTTTGATCAACCGTAACACCACCATCCCCACCAAGAAGTCCCAGGTTTTCTCCACTGCAGCCGACTTCCAGAGCGCTGTCGAGATCAAGGTCTACCAGGGTGAGCGTGAGCTCGTCCGCGACAACAAGCTCCTAGGAAACTTCCAGCTTGTTGGCATTCCTCCGGCCCACCGCGGTGTGCCTCAAATCGAAGTTACCTTCGACATTGATGCTGACTCCATTGTCCACGTTCACGCCAAGGACAAGTCTACCAACAAGGACCAGTCCATCACCATTGCCTCTGGTTCCGGTCTTTCCGAGTCCGAGATTGAGAGCATGGTCAGGGACTCTGAGCAGTATGCCGAGCAGGACAAGGAGCGCAAGAACGCCATTGAGGCTGCCAACCGCGCCGACAGCGTCGTTAACGACACTGAGAAGGCCCTAAAGGAGTTCGAGGACCGTCTTGACAAGACTGAGGCCGAGAAGATCAAGGAGAAGATTGCCTCCATGCGCGAGTTTATCTCCCAGAGCCAGTCTGGCGAGGGTACTGCCACTGCTGCCGAGATCAAGGAGAAGACCGACGAGCTCCAGAACGCTTCTCTGAGCCTGTTTGACCAGATGCACAAGGCCCGCTCTGAGAGCCAAAACCAGAGCGAGCAGTCTCAACAGCCCGAGGGTGAAGGCGAGAAGAAGCAGTAAGCGCTTCAATCGTTTGCCTGGGTTTTGTGTTTTCCGTTCGTGTCTCTTCACGTCTAAAAGCAGGCGTCTTGCATTCGGCCACGGCTGGTCTGTCAGGTCTACATGTGTAGACTTCTATATACCTCTCCGTGTTTGAGCATCTGTGTATCATATTTGACGATTTCTCTTCTCACATTAGCGTTTGTTTTACTACTACGGATCTTTGGTTCATGTCGGAATAACGAAAGGGTGATATCCTCTGGCGAACAAAAGATATATGGAATGGATGATGACGTAATCCATGGCGGAGCCAACGAGTGTACCATAGCCTGGAGTTGCGAGATGGTAGCGCTCAGCTAACTTCTCCGCTCTAAATCAATGATTGAAATGTTCACATACATGTCTCAAACTTGAATTGTTGGGTGAAGAATTTTTGGTTCTACTCATTTTCTTCATTTGCCGTTCCCACTTCCTGTCCTTGGCCGCATACGACTTGTCCAATAAATGTAAGATTTACAATCACGACCCCACCATATACGTGTTATTCAGGAGAGCCTGGTACTTTTTCCGAGGCTGCCTGCTTCCGCTTCTCTAAAATACTTTTTGTACTATACATATCTGTTATCAAAAGGTTCAGTTTTCCTCAATTCCACCCATATATTTGTACATAGTTCGTGTTGATACTCCAATAAACCTGATATCTTTGCTTGCCCGCCCGCTGTATATCGGAGAGAACTCTAACGTCAACGGAAGGGGCTGTGGATTGAAGAAGCCTCTATTACACACACAAAGACATTCTAAATCACTGTAATATTACGGACACGAGACTCCTTGGATTTATTTACAGTGCACGATACAAATCTACTGTCCAAATCCAAGCCCAAAATGACCGAAGCGACGCACCACCCTCTCTCTGGCTTATGGCAGCCCACACAACTGCAAAGGCTACATTACGGTCCAGATTCAGTAACGAAGCATCTGGTTGCCTGCCTCCCAAAGACATCCAGCAAGGCCTTTATCATTACGGGTACTTCGCTGGCTAGCAAGACTCCCTTGGTGAAGCAAGTCGAAGAGCTCTTGGGAGAAAAACATGCCGGGACGTTCAGCAGGATTGGCGAACATGCACCTATTGCCGAGCTTGATGAAGCGACCGAGCTAGTGAAAAAAGATGCAACTATCGACACTATCATCTCCATTGGCGGTGGAAGTCCCATCGATAGCGCCAAAGCCATCAGCTATCGTTTCCACGAAAAGACTGGAAAATTTCTGTATCATATCACTATTCCCACCACTCTGGGTGCAGCTGAATGCACCTTCATTGCAGGCTACACAGCAGCCGATGGAGTGAAGATAGACGTCAGAGCAAAAGAGCTTGTCCCAAGCGTCGTCATCTATGACTCCACATTTGCTCTATACACACCGGAGCGATTATGGACGAGCACTGGCATACGCGCCATGGACCATGCTGTGGAAATACTTTACCACCCCACCGCTTCCGAGATCCCCGCGCGATGGCTGGCGTTGCAGAGCGCAGCGATTTTATTCGAGGCATTGCTCAAGTACAAACAAGATCCAAAGGACAAGGATAATATTACCAAGCTCCAACTGGCTGCTTATGGATCGCTAGGTTTTATAGGGTACAACCTCGTAGGCGGCATTGGACTCTCTCACGCCCTAGGTTACGCCCTTGGTTCTCCGTACAGCATACCGCATGGCATTACGTCCTGCCTTACGCTCGGTCATGTTGTCAAGCTGAAGGCCCAAGATCCCGCTGCTGCAGAGCAAATTGCCCGTCTTCTTCCGTTTATTGGTGAAAGTGCTTCTGGAGACACCAAGGTGGATGCGGAAGTTGTCGGAGATAGGATTTTGAAGCTGGTCAAGGACTTGGGATTGGATAATGATCTGAGTAACTACAAGGTTGGCAGAGATCAGATTCCTATTATCATGGAAAGAGCGACGGGTGGGATGAAGGACGGTCCTGTTTATGATGCTGTCGAGGGTTTGGTGAAAGGGTTGTTTGCGTGACCTATTGGATAAAGGGATTGATCGGCTCGCTAGGTGGGAAACGGGACGGCCATGATGAGATGGATGATTTCTATCAAAGCCAGTTTCATAGCAGATGACTTGTCATGTGTATGCAAGCAAGGAACTTTAACTCAAAGCGAATTGTTTATGAGCAGACTATCCAGGGGCTGATGTTGATTAGGTTGCTCCAGGCTTTCATATCGCCCGCTTCTTTTCGACATCTACTACAAATCACCCTCTGTTGTATCAGCCTTGCCCCGGCTCTTATGTCCGAAATGGGTTATAGTTCACTAGTTATATAGTCTGTGGTGTTCAGTCATGAACTAGGTACGCGTTTTGGTCCGGCTACTGGCAGTTGGCAGGCTTTTGGAACAGGGAAGCACTCGGTCACAGTATGCCAAGGCAAGACAGTGTTTTAATGGCCGAGACACAGAGTTTAGAATATTGGCATATACGGGCAAGCCAGGCTGTGAATGGAAGAAAGAGGCATCGCGTCAGTGCACATGAGGGTAACTTTGGCGCTACGGCACAGCGCTCGGACCAATGACGCTACACCTGCCTTACGCCCCATTGCCGTCATGCTTGGAACATGATGCTCACCTGCAGGCACAGACGATCACCCTTCCAAACGGCCCGTCTGCGTCAGACACGAGACTGATGAACCACTCGGTCAAGGATCCGGTGTGCCCAGATCCTTTTGGTCCGCTTACCCCAACTTTTACCATTTATAGCTGAGGGTCAAGTCTCCCAGATATCACCCTTCTACTAGCCAACTCGCCAGGCATCATGGCAGACACGCTCGCCGAGTCTGCGGTTGTTCAAGATACTACTTTACCAGAGATTCCAGCTATTGTCGAACCCGATGTAGATGCGGACGAGCGTGGGCGCCTGAAGCGACGTAGGCAATCCTCTCAGCACTCCCCTCGCCGAGCCTCCTCCCCCTCTCGCGGCCATGATCGCAACAGCGGCTCGCGTTACCGAACCCACTACCGCAAGCATCACCGTCCATCTTCCCCCACATTATCCATCTCCCCACCCACTTCTGTAGAGAAGAAACTCAGACGGCGCAGTGACGCCGAACCCGACCATACATTCAGGGGCCGAGCACGCAACAGAAGCATTGATCGAGGAAGAACCCGAAGTCCGCTTTTCGAGGACGAAGATGCATGTGTAGAGAGCGATGAAGATGTCAAGAGGTTCAGGAAGAGAAGTGCACCGCCTAGCAGGCGCCGAGTGGATGAAGCAGATTTGGCAGCGGAGATTAGGCGACAGAGGAGTTATCCTAACCTTTACAAAGTGGACAGGAGGGACTCCAAGGTTGAGGATGAACGGCACATGCAAGTGGGGATTGTGGGTTCTACAGAAGTTGCAGCAGCGCCCCACACGAATAATGACCGGCGACACTAGTACATACTTCTACATACGTCTGGCCTAGTCGCCCAGTATTACGGTGTGCACTAGCATAGTCTACGATGGTGCTGGGGTTGTATGTTACATTTCCTATCCATAAGAGGAGAGCGCAGCACGGAGTAGAATTTGGTCAGCGTATTTGGCAGAAGATGTTTTTTTCTTCTTCTAAATTATTTCCTCACTGGCATACGTACATATCGCTAAGTTATTACAACGTCCCTATTCGATTCCCATGGAAGCTTACATAATCGCATTGTGGCTGTGCATGTGGTGAGGTCAAGAGACGTGGCGCCTGCAAACAGCCATCTTGGTAGTAGTACATACTACATAGACAGAGTGACTGTCTGCAGAATCACCTTTGCGTTCTGGTTCTATCCGGCTGTTTCCGCACTGCTCAGCTCAGCATCACGCTCGGCATCTCGAATCTTCCATACCGAGGCGCAACAAAAGGTGCCCCACGCCCCGCCGCCTACCAATCATCGAAGCCTAACTCCGCTCTCACTTCCGCTCGACGGTCCCCCAGCCTCGCTCCCGACTACCTTGTTGACTGCGCCGCTATGCCTCCGCCAGGCAACGAATACGCCGCCGAGCAACTCAAAAACTCCGGCAACAAATGCTTCAAAAATGGCGACTATGAAGGGGCAGAGACACTGTACTCTCAGGCAATCCAGAAAAACTCGGCCAACCCGCTCCTTTTTACCAATCGCGCAAATGCGAGGCTAAAGATGGAAAAATGGGAGGGTGTTATTGACGATTGCATTCGGAGTATTGAACTCTTGAAAGACAACATGAAAGCTTTTTTCTACTTGGGTACGTATGATTGTCTTGACGCGGTCCCGTCTAGTCTCCTGACCACGTCGAGCATAAAGGCGTGATATTAACTTAGGTCCTTGGGCTAATCGGTGTATATATAGCGCAAGCACAACTCGCCATCAACCACCCGAATGAGGCGCTATCATCTGCCCTTATGGCATACGAGTTATGTACCACATCGGCGCAACAAACCTCCAATGCCGCCACCATATCTGCCCTAGTCCTGAAGTGTAAAAAGGCCAAATGGGACATTCGGGAACGGGAGCGCATAAGAAGACGGGGTGATCTTCTCTCAGATCTTGAGTCTATGTTAGAGATACAATATAAAAAAGAAATGGACGAGATAGATGCTCGCATGGAGGCTGGGGAAACCAGTCGAACAGACGGGCAAGAAGAGAAGGCAGAGCTGAAACAAGAATTCGAAAAGAAGCGCGATGATCTGCGAACGGCATTTGCCATTTCAGATCCCGCCAACCAACAGAAACGTGAAGTGCCGGACTACCTTGTTGACGGCATTACGTTTGAAATTATGCACGACCCGGTAGTCACAAAGAACGGTCGGTCGTACGAGCGCGCGACCCTGATTGAGCATCTGAAGCGCAGCCCTACCGACCCGCTTACCCGAGAGACACTTACAATCAGCGACCTGAGACCGAACATTGCACTCAAAGAAGCTTGTGAAGAGTTTATGAGTGCAAACTCTGGGTGGGTGTATGATTGGTAGGTTTGCGAGAATTTATTGGCCAGCGATTAACTTGGTAGGTATGTTGCATGTGGAGTTACGTGTTGTGATTGAAGAGAATTGGGACGCAGTTGCTGACAATGCTACAGTGAGGATGGTGAAATGGATAGAGATGCACGTTGGGCGCATCTTTCATCAAGCTAAGCTTTATAATTCCTTTAAAATTCTTCATCTAGCTGAGATTGTCTTATTTGCATCATGAGGCGTTAGTTGGCAGTACATTCCTCTTGCGTACGTATTATTTAGACAGCATTGAGCGTCGTTGAATCAGTCATAGCTTTATACCCATGATTTTGCCCCTTTTGTTGGTGTGTTTGTCCTCTTCTTTACGTTTACTGTTTTTCGAATTCTCGTACAACTAGATTCAAGGATTCGGATAGAATTCGAGACTGCGCTCAAAGTAGCAAGCGAATGTCGTTCAACATGCAACCATATGTACGGAGAAAACAGCGACTTTTCAGCATGTCCGCACTGACAAGGAAAACAATCAAACCGGGTTCGAAACAGGAAGTTTTCTGCTCATACATATTGTAGACTGTTAATGAATATTCTATCTCGCATTCGTTAAGCTTGGCTTCGCTCTTGCAAAATCCTGCCACGTTCCTCCTTCCCAACTTCTCACTGGCATGGCGTCTCACCTACTTGAAGATAGCGCCTTGGCACAGCGCTCTTTCCTTGGTGTAGCTGGTGTTCACTCTCACCTAGCTATCTTGCCGTGTGACCATAGTATTCAGAATCCTTCACCGTACAATTTGTCCAACTCTTTCGAATACTTTCCCAGCATATCAACCTTTCTGACACTCCCTTTTGCCGTCTTCAGGAAAGGCTCTTGCGCAACGATAACCATGTCTTTGGTAACCCGTGCGTAAAGCGGTGAGTCCACGTTGACTTCCTCAATTCTTTCCCATACATCATCCAGCTTGAATCCTTCCTCCAGCCTGACGATCAGCGAAGCTTTCGGCCGACGTGTCCCTACAATCAGAGCTTCAGCGATACCAGGGTGCGACGCAATACGCTGTTCAGCGACAGTAGGGAAGAACTTTTCGTTGGAGAGGAAGACCAGCAGGTCGTCTGTACGGCCGTGATGTTTCCACATATCCGGAGATTTTTGAGATCTTAGGAATAGGTCGCCCATGCTTTTCTCCTGGAGGTCAGGAAAGCATCTGAACAAAGGTTGCACATATCCATCCAAGTCCTCACCGTTGTTTCGCACCATAACGGCTTCGTACACTGTTTGACCAGCATCCTCGGAAACAGGGCGGAATTGCAAGTTAAGTGCCGGGTGGGGAGTCACATATTCCCATCTTCCATCAAGTTTCATATCATCGTCGGTTCGCAGGATGGTGGGCCAAATGCCTTGCTCGGTGGACCCAATTCCACAGACTAGATGTGTTCTGTCTACTATGATGTCGCCAGCTGTGCGAGATACACTTCCGCCGCCATATCGCAACGAGTGGCTCCTTTGGACAATCTGATCGAGTTTCGCAGGGTGCTTGGCCACATACTCTATAAACGTCGGCATCACCGACACACAATCTACCACCTTCTGCGATGTCTCAGTCGCACTTCCGCTCGTAACTGTTCTCTCTGTGTGCAGAAATTCTAGAGCCGCTATGGTACGATCCACGTTTGCTTCTGGTGTTGCTCCCGGTTGCGAATAGATGGGTTTTGTGCCCAATAGCAAAGGGTACAGAACCATATTAAAGATTCCGCTTGCATGAAATGGAGGGCCAGTCACCAGTAATCGTCCTCGCTGATCATTTTGGTAGCGTATATGATAGTCATGACGGGTAAAACCGGCTGGTAATGGGAGGTTGAGTGTCTGCGATTGACTTGCAATCCAGTCGTGTGTCCACAGTACTGGCTTAGGAAATCCCGTTGTGCCGGATGTATCTGCGTTGCCAAAGGTAAGCTCTTCATTCTCAGTCGCTTTTTCAAGCAGCAAGTTGAAGCAAGTGAAAGTATGTTGTCAACTTACGTACACATATCGCAGGCTCGTCTTTACAAGTCGCAAACGTCTTGGTAAAAGGATATGCTGCTACTCTCTCTGCGAACAGCTGATCCACACTTGGTGCTTGAAGTTTTGTTATCCCACCTTTGCTCTTCTCTAAGATCTCTGCTTCGACAGGATACGGCGTCCCGGGGCTCAGCAGGACTTTCGCATCTATGGTTTCGATCAACTTTCCCAAGGCTTCAGATCCATACCGTGGCGAAGGGAAGAGCATCTATCATTTCCTATCAATCCTGTTTCTAACAAAGATGGTGAGAGTAATGGACGACAGACTTACTTTGTATCCAGCAACTACACTCCCTAGACAAAACACTGCATACCGGATATCGTTTGGCCCCATGTATACCAATGTCTTATTTCCATTCTTTTGCTCCTCTGCTAGCTTCCCTACGTTTTGGTCGATCCACCACGCAAACGCATTGACGGCATTAGCTACCTCTGCAAATGTGAACCTGCGATATCCTTTCGATATATCATCGGGATCACGCGGAAACCAGGCATAATAAAGAGAAGGGTACTGGTCAGCAATCGAAGACAGAAGAGCTGGAAGCAGAGTATGATGGCGGATTGGCCAGGGGTTGGGACGAGCTGACATGATTATCCTGAAATGATTTGAGTGATAGTTAACAATGAAACAAAAGAGCTTGTGGTTCAACAAGTACATATATACACAAAGAAACAAGAACATCTATAACGTCAATATTACCAAGGTAATACATTAGCTTTCTGGGACGATGACATGTAAGCATAGTACCCCGCACAGGATGCTGGGTCCTCCTTGTGCAAAACCATATGTCCAGTACTACCCCATAGGTACATCGTGACAGCGCATCTTGGCGCGTATGTACTACACAAGGTACGTATTCCGTACACTGTACAACCTGCCATGGATTTTGGCCTTGTGTGGACCCAAGCTAGCAAGGTTACCCCAATCACCTTGTTCACAATTGCCGAGATATTATCTGCAACAGCAAACGTTAAATTTAAAGTTCGTCGCATTCGAGAGGGTTACGTAAACCTTGGAACCGTTCATTCCGCGTATTTAGTTCAAATCTTCGTATACGCGTGATAGGGCTACGTATGATATGTGCGCCTGCGCCTAAGTATCCGATGACTAGTGTAAGCACTAAAAACTGTGGGTACGCTTCACATGTTCTGAGGTCCCGCAAGGATGTCACTATATCCGTGCCAAGGCTTAGCTTATTAAGCTAAGTCAGCTGCGCTGACACTCGCCGCAGGCGAGTGCCGACGCTCAATACGATATTACCATCAATACGATATTTTTTTGCAACTCCATTACTTTAATC